CATAAAAACTCAACTGCAAGGTGCTTTATTCAACAAAGTTTGCTATATAGTGAAACATCAAAGATCACATAAACATCAGACAATGGGAAGGGAAATGTTCTGTAATCATTAAATAATACTGTAATGAGAAAAACAGGATGCAGAGGTTGGTGTATATGGTTCATTGGTAGAGCACTTGCCTACACTTGCCTAGCATGATGGTCATGGGTTTGGTCCCTGGCACCACCAAAAATAAAAAGAGCAAAATGAGGGCATAGACGATTACTGTACTGCAGTCTCATCACATAGGGATCTGCATGCAAAGAGAAAAGACTAGGGGACAGGAACATGTCAGAATGTTAACAACAGTGATCTATAGGTCATGGGATTATGGGTCTTCCTATGCTTTTTTAAAAGTATTTTTTTAAATATAGAACAAGTATTACTTTAAAAAGATTATTATTTTTGTATATCTATGTATATGTGTGTAAATGTGTATGTATATATGTGCCTCATGTGTGCAGTGCCCAAGGAGACTAGAAGAAGGTGCCAGATTGCCCAGGACCTGTACTTATAGGCAACTGGGAGCACCAAAAATCAAACTCAGGTTCTCTGTGAGAGCAAAGAGTGCTCTTAGTGTCCAAGCCATCTCTCCAGCCCAAAGCATTACTTTTGTAATAAAAAAAATTTTTGAGAACCTGAGAAAAATCTAGCCATGCTTGCAAAATGAACTTAGGTGATTTTGAACTGTGTAACTGTCTAAGAATCTCTTAACTGTGGGTAATCGTGATCTCCTTTCTCCCAGGGCGACACTTCCGGAGACTACAGGAAGGTTCTCCTCATTCTCTGCGGAGGAGACGATTAAAACAAGACCCAGGACTGAAGGATTCTCAACACTGATTTTTTTTTTAACTTCATTTTTCTGCTCTGCTATTAACATTATCTCAAATGCTTATTTCCAATTAAAACGCCTCCAGTTGCCTCCTATGATCCAGACTATGTTATTATCATCTATAATTAGTCATTTTGATGCCTTAAACCTGTACTTTCAAAGCTTTTAAGATCTAAATGGAGATTTAGAATTAGAAATTAGAATGTGCTCCACGTCTGTAGCTGATTATTTCCCCATTTGTGTTTTTGCAGAGATTGAATGCACTAAATCCTTTTGGATTTTCTTTTCAGTAAGAATTTTACAGGACAGAAGCAGTTCTCTCCCCTGGGCAGCCAGTCATTTCTTCATGTGGGACCCAGGGCATCTGTTACTGAGAATTTCCATCCGGTTTCCTGTTTTACACAGTTGTGGATTGAAGTTCTCATGAGCCTCCTTTCTTTGGCTTTGTCTATCATGTTAGCTGATAGTGTGTTTGGTGTGGCAGGATTCATCTCCTCCTGCACTGAGACCACTTTCTCCCCAAGAAGTGCAGCAAAGTTACCAACTCATTAAACAAATTCAATTTCAAGTGTGGTTAAACAGAGCCCATGTGTCTGGTTGCCACTCATGCTGAGCATTCCGAAGTCAAAATGCTAAGACTGTCCTAATCTTGCCCGAAAGTGATGGGAAAGAGCAAGGTTTGTCTGAGGTTCTTCTGGTATGTGATGCTCTGGGTTGTGGCCAACCTAAGAGATTTTTTTTTTCTGTTAAAAATAGTCTCTTTAGATTGTTGATTTGATTCCCACTGTGCCTTTTTGATTTTACAGTCATCCAGAAATGGTGCTTTGCATGTAATCATGGAGTTTGGTTTGTATACAACGTGAGAAATTTTTAATTAAAAATGGTGACTTTAAAGGGATGTGTATTCTTTGTTTGGTTTTTCTATGTCAGAGATTTTTTTTTTCAATCCAGAACCATGGAAGGAACTATTCTGAAGGAATTGTGATACTAAGCTTCAACATAAAAAAAAAATGGCTCATTAATCATATGTTAGCCTGCTTCTATAAGACGAATGTTTACATTAGTGAGGTGGAGGCAGGAGGATCAGAACTTCAGACTCTCCCGGCTACATAGCCAGTGTGAGGCCAGCCTGAGCACATGAGTCCCTGTCTCAAAAAAGCAAAACAAGGGCCGGGGAGATGGCTCAGTGAGTAAGATGCTTGCTGCTCAAGCATGAGGAGCCGCGTTTGGGTCCCTGGCACCAGTGGGAAGCCAAGCACAGCCAGTGAGTGTATTCATGTAACCCCAAAGCTGGGATGTGGAGAGGAGCAGATCCCAGGGTTCGGTGGCCAGCCCTTATAGCTGAATCAATGAACTTCAGTTCAGTGGAAGACCCTGTCTCTGATGAGGATGAGAAGGAGGATATAGAGAGTAAGACACTGATAGCAACTTCTGGTTTCTACGTTGGCACACTCAGACACTCTCAAGTACACACACACCCAAATAAGTAAGATGACATTGAGATGGCTCAGTGGGTAAAGGCCCTTGCTGCCAAGCCTGACGACCTGAGTTCAATCCCCAGGGCCCACAGGGTGGAGAGAACAAGGGATGACACCCCTCTCTCACACCAAAACAAAGTAACAAACACAAAACAACAAAATCATTAACATTTGTGTGTGCCAAACACTCCTCAGTGATATTAAATAACATGGTAGCTTGCTCTCTGAAAATGAGTGACATTCTGCTCTACTCAGTGGAGCGTTTATAGTAAATGTTACATATAAAGCCAAAAATGTAGCTCGGTGGGATAGAGTCATACCTTGCTTTTCTTAGCACCACAAAGGACAAAAGTTACAGGTGTACAAAGGACACACACACACACACACACACACACACACACACACCCCTTTGTTCCTGCTGCAGCGGGACCGCACTTGGGTGTGGGCATCATCGACAACATGCCGATGTGACTAGTCATTCCAATTAACACAGATTCAGGAATCGACGCTGCCACTTCAGGGCTGTGGAATCTCTACTCCAGCTTCATTATGTTTTTGGAAGCATTATGAGGTTCTTTGTTTTGGTTTTAGTAGATGTTTTACCTTTAAATGATGCCTTAGCTAGAATTTTAAAAATTTCAGAAGTTGGGATAGTGTTTTGTGGCTGAGTGCAGGTGTAAATTCAGAGGGAGGGTAGAAAGTCACAATTTTTTTGTTTATGATTAGCTTTTCAGAAGTCCTACTGTGTAGCTCCTTAAGATCCCAAAACAATGTTATTTCAGTCACCAACATAATGAGTCAAAATTCCAAGTGTGATTTGAGACTTCTTCCCTCGGTCAGTTCTGGCCTGTTGCCACCAGGCATCTCTTCTTTCTCCATCCTTCCTGCTTGGGTCATAGCAGCATGGAGAAGAGCAGAGGGAATTAGGTACGTTCTTGCCTGACTGCCATTGCTCTGTGGGTGTCCTGTGTAACTGTGGCAGGTTCTTAAGGACATTCCCGTGAGTCCCCTCAGTAATACCATCACCAGGGAACCATTTACCTGAGGTTCCTTAGGCAAGACCAATATGGTTGTTTTACCTTTTAAGAATTTAGTGACACTTGAGGTCACCATGTTGTAGTCTTACACCAAGGCCTCTTCGCACAATATTTAAGATGGCCCCATGCACACGTTTTGCGTTTTGTGCATGCAGTGTATTCCCTTGCAACCGCTATTCTCTTGCTCCAACATCTACTTCAGCCTTCCTCAGCTAAGTGCCCTCAGAATTTCTCAGGGATGACTCGAATACAAATCCTCAGTGGCCTGCCTAAAAGGAGTGGTGCATTGACGCAGTCAGTTCTGGGGAAATTTTGGCAAGAGTTCATAAAGTTGAAAATTTCCGAGAAAATCTATTTTCGGGGATCTGCTTGATGAAGCTTTTATGCGTAATGTTCATATCTGTTCTGAAGGAGCATTAAAGTAGAAATAACTGAAGCCCCTCAGTGAGGAAGTAGGTAAATCACCGGTCTTACAATGAGTGGTGACAATAACTAAAGATTAGTCCAAAGTATAGCTTTAAGAGAGGAGAAAAGTTCTGAATCATAGGTTTGGGAAGGTCTGATTCCATTTAAATTATATGTCTGAATGTGCAGCAGAAAAGAGCGTCTATGGGTATGCGTGTAGAAACATGCACAGAAATGGCATGGAGAGGGCGAGGATGTAAGCAGAGGGTGGGTACACAAGGGGTGTTTCTCATATTTTTATCATTCTCCGTTCAAAATAAGTGTGATAAAATTCCAAGCCTGTAGTGGGTCCGCAGGTATTTGTATTGCTCTGTTTGAAACATTTCATTATAAACATTTTACTTTGAAAAGTATAGAAGGCCAGCATGGTAGCTCATGTCTCAACTCCCGGCACTCAGCGGCTTAGGCAGGAGGAGTACTAAGAGTTCCAGGCCAGCCTGGGCTTCAGAGTGAGACCCTTCTTTAAAAAAAAAAAAAAAAAAAAAATCGAGGCCTGGGATGTCGTTGAATTGGTAGTGGTTGCTTAACATTCACGAAGCTCTGGGTCGGATCCCCAGCAGTTAAATAGGCGGGCGATATGACACATGCCTGTAATCCCAGCATTCAAGAGGTGGACACAGGACATCAGAAGTTCAAGATCATTCTATATAGAGAGTCGAAGGTCAGCATGTAATACAAGACCCTGACACAATAAAATAATCAAATCAAAACAAGGCAGAAGAAAGGAGCCAGGCACTAGAGGCTGACAGCAGCTCCAGACTGACGCCTGTCAACAACACTGGGTGAAAGGCCGTCTAGCCATGGCAGCACAGTCCCAGAGCCTGGGAGGGAAGCAAGGGCCTTAATGACATGTCCATCATCCACAAACTGACTGCACAGGGCTGGAGAAAACCCCGGACTCGAGGAACCTCGCGGGAAGGATCAACGACACGGGTCCCCAGATCCCTCGATGACAAGCACACAGCACCCATGCCCCTAGGTTAACGCCGGAAGCACTGAAAGTTCGCCCCCCCCCCCCCCCCCCCCGGGGCAAAGCTCCGCGGAGGCGTGCCCGACTCCCGCGCTTGCGCAACCATGCTGACCAGGCTCCGCCCCTGAGGCCAGCTGCCCCCGCCCCTTCCGGGGGCTCGCCGCACGCCTGCGCCCTGCGGCGCGCGCTTTGTTGCGAGAACGAGGGGGCGAGGTCTTGAGGAGCCGGTCGGCTGAAGCGCGGCGGGCGGGGCGGAGGATGGAGATGACTGCGTTCTCGACGACGGTTGGGGCTGCGCGCGAGGCGGCGGCGGAGTAGGCGGTGGGGCGTCAGGCATGGCGGGGCGGCCCCTCGGCGCTCCCTAGGCGCCGGAGCCATGGGCGCGCTGAGCAGCCGGGTGCTGCGGCCCGCGGGGCGCGCAGATCAGCCCGAGCCCACGCCCGGTTCTGGGGGCGCGGCCCGCAGGTCAGAAGCAGGCGAGGATGCGGCCCACGGCTTCTGTTACTGTCCGGGCGGCCGCAAGCGCAAGCGCAGCAGCGGCACATTCTGCTACTGCCACCCGGACTCGGAGACAGACGAAGATGAGGACGAGGGCGACGAGCAGCAGCGGCTGCTGAACACGCCGCGCAGGTACGGAGCGCCCGGCCGCCGGTGCCCTTGACGGGAGAGTGCGGGGCGGCCGCGCGGCGAGGATCGGTGTGGGAGCTGAGCGCGTGCCGGGCAGACCTGAGATCAGTGCTGGAGCTGAGCGCGTGCGGGCCAGACCTAGAGTCAGAGCGGGAGCTGGGCGTTTGCAGACAGACCTGGGGTTAGAGCGGGAGCTGAACGTTTGCAGACAGACCTGGGGCCAGAGCGGGAGCTGGACGTTTGCAAACAGACCTGGGGCCAGAGCTGGAGCTGGGCGCGTGCGGAGCAGACCTGGGGCCAGAGCTGGAGCTGAGCGCGTGCGGGGCAGACCTGGGGTCAGAGCGGGAGCTGGACGTTTGCAGACAGACCTGGGGTCAGAGCGGGAGCTGGACGTTTGTAGACAGACCTGGGGTCAGTGCGGCAGCTGGACGTTTGCAGGCAGACCTGGGGTCAGTGCAGGAGTTGGACGCTTGCGGACAGACCTAGGGTCAGTGCGGGAGCTGAAGAGCCTAGGCTTTTTGCACGTTACCCGGAAGCTTCCTGTATGTCAGAGCCTCAACCTGAGACCGAAAGGACTAGCCAGAGCTTCCGCGGACCTTCCCTAGTGGGCCTTTGCTTTCTGAGTGAGTAGCCACAGGAAAACTTACTGTGCATTCAGTAGCCTTCAGTCAGTATAGAGAGGAACATAGTAGTGCCTGGTTGTCCACTTGATGGACCAGTGATTGCACATATGAACATTGGCAATACTGTGCATTCCCCTGAATAAAGAACAAAGTCTTGTCAGAGTCTGCTTGTTGAGGTGGGCTGTGATCTGTGTAGGCTGCCTAAGATTTTTGAGGGGAGAGTTGAAAAAAAACCATTGCTTGTGAAGTAGATGTGACTTACACCAGAATGGTTTTGTTTTGGTTTGGGGTTTTTGGTTTTTGGAGACAGGGTTTCTCCGTGTAGTTTTGGTGCCTGTCCTGGAACTCACTCTGTAGACCAGGCCGGCCTCAAACTCACAGAGATCCACCTGCCTCTGCCTCCGGAGTGCTGGGATTAACAGCATGTGCCACCACCACCTGGCCCACCAGAATGTATTTTCATATAAGGAATCTGCTTGCTTTTTTTTCTCTTTTAAGGTCATTGTTAGAATCACACGGATGTAATTTTTCAATACAAATTTAAAAAGACTGTCTGCTCAGTATTTTGCTACACACTCACTGCATTTTAGTTGACAAAAAAGTATGGGTGCTAGAGATGTGGCTCAGTTGTAGAGCTAACATGTAAATATCACAGGTAAAAACTAGATTACTATAAATATAAACCCTTTCATTAGAGTTTTATGTGTGAATATATTTACAAGATGGATGCACAAAAAATGGAAATATTACTTCCACATCATAGAGTTCCACAGATTTAGCCTAGCAAGGTGGTACAAGCCTGTAATAGGTACACTCTGGTGCCCAAGACAGGAAGATCTTAAGTTGGAGATCAGCCTGGACCAAATAGTGAGTTCAAGTCCTTCCTGGACTATATATAGAGACCCTGGAGAGAAGGAAGAGGAAGGAGGAGCTGGGGCATGTTGGAGAGAGAGAGAGAAGGCGTCAATTTCAAGACCTAAGAATGAGCACAAGTGTAGCACCTGGCTTGCTTTTTTTTTTTATTTTTACAATTTATTTTTGTTTATGTGTGTGTGTGTGTGTGTGTGTGTGTGTGTGTGTGTGTGTGTGTGTGTGTGTGTGTGTATGTGGGTTTGTGCACGTTTCTACAGAGTCCAGAGAGGGTGTTGGATTCCCTGGAGTTACAGGAGTGTTGTGAGCTCCCTAATATGGGTGCTGGGAGTTGTACTTGGATCCTGTGTAAGAGCAGTATGTGCTCTTCACCACTGAGTCACCACTCTAGCCCCACAGTGCCTGTCTTTTGTGTACTCAGTAAGTGTTAGAACTCTTTGATGAACTGACTCTTATGTCATAAGATGTCATCTTCTTTATTTAGCCTTAGTGACTTAGTCACTCCCACCTCCTTTTGGTAATTGTTTGATGTACCTGCTCCATCCTTTCCAACCTGCATCCTACATCCCATCAACCAACCACCCCATCACTTCCCCTCCCATAACCCAGGGCCTTATCTGTTCTAGGTAAGCACTCTACCGAGAAGCTATAGACCCACACCATGTTTTCACTTTTTACATATGCATACATGTACAAATGTGCTTGCATGTGGAGGCCAGAGGTCAACATTGGATCATTCAGTATTGCTCTCCACCTTACCTTTTTCAGACAGGGTCTCTTTACTAAACTGGAAGATTACTGATTGGCTAATCTAGCCAGTCAGCAAGGTCCAAGGATCTGCCTGTTTCTGCCCCTCCGCCTGCCCCATTAGGATTACAGATGCTGGCAATTCCACCTGGTTTTTTTGGCATCCTGGTCCCCATCCCTGCTCACTCCCCATTCAACTCAGGTCTTTGTACTTGAAAAGCACTTTATTATGTGAGTGATTTGCCCGGCCCATTTGTGTATTTATATTTAAGATAGGTAAGTATACAGCATATAGTTAAGTCTTGCTTTTTTAAATCCAATAAGACAGTCTGTGCCCTTTGATTAGTATGTATACCATGTATGTTTAATGTAATTGTTGAAATGTATGACAGAGCCCATTTTTAAAAGGAGAAACAGTAATCTGAACAAGGAAAATATAAATCTTAATAATAAAGAACAGGAAGTAACTATTATGGACAAAGTATAAAGAGATCTTTAAAAAAAAGAAGATACAGGAATAGGCCCAGCATTGTGTCACATACCTATAATCCCAGCACTCAGGAGGCTGGGACAGGAGACTCACAGGTTCAAGAACAGCTTAGGTTATGTTGTGAGACCCTGTTTCAAAAAAGAAAATACATGTCAGACTTTAGAGTGTGTGTATAGTGGGAGATGTCTGACTGAATAGCTGAAGGTGTAAGAAGATGCTTGGATCTGTAATTTTGTTTGCTGGTTCTGATTCCCTTGTCAGGTTCTCTTGTGCTTTCCCACCTCAGCAGAGCTGCTTGTGAAAAGCTTCAGCTTCTATGCCCACCCCTCAGCTACACCTTTTGCTAACTGCCCTCTTTTTCATGAACAAAGCTGTTAAAATTCACACTGTTCTGCAGCAGATTCTCTGCATCTTGTCCACAGGTTGTCTGTAAAAAATGGAAATCTAGTGAATAATGTGTAATTATAACTGTAAAGGTCAGTCAGTGATGTTAGGCTATGGACAAAGCTTACAGATCACACTTCACAGGCCTAATGCCAGAGGGAAGCATTTGCTAACCTCATGGATAGACTGAATCTTTCACCTTTTGGAACAAAGTGTCACTTATCTGAGGCTAGCCCAGAGGCTAGCCTCAAACTCAATATAGTAGTGCTCAGATTGAACCCAGGACTTCATAGATGCTAGGCAAGCACTCTGTCAGATGGGCTACATCTTTAGTCCCTGGAACCTTTTCTGACCTCCTGTCAAGTGCTTTAGTTGGGCTGATTCTGTTTGTATTTTATTTACATAAATAGCTACGTTTATTTATGTTTGAGGGAGGCATGTGCTCCATCCAGTACGTGCACAGAGATCAGCAGACAACTTGAGGGAGTCAGTTTTCTCCTTGCACCATGTGGATTTAAGGGTTTGAACTTGCGTCTTCAGGTGTGGTGGGCAAGGCCTTTACCTGCTGAGCCATCTCACCCCGCCCCAGCCCTTCAGTGTCTCACTGTGTAGCTCTGGCTGGCCTGGAAGTCACAACGATCTTTCCACCTCTGATCCACCTCCCTGGTACTGGGGTTGAAGTCAGTGCCACCATGCCTGACCTGGCCCCCTTTTTAAAAGGGGTTTATTGTCCTAGAGTTTCTAGCTACCTTTTTTACCGCCAATGATAAAATAATACTCTTTCATCATGTCTTGAGATTTTCTCAATCTTTTGAGGTAGCCTTGCATAGAACCCATCTTTGAACCCTAGACCTCCTACAGGGTCCCATCCTTTTACTCCAGTTTGGGCCTGCCTGCTTCTAATTATTATAACTGGGACTTTGACCTCCATCTCTATGAATGGACTGTGGTTTTCAGTAGCTTCTCCCCTTTTCTTTCTCATTTCAGTGAACTACATCTTCAAGTATTTTCTCATGAAAGAGTGGAGAAAGGTGATCATTTTTGCTTAGATAATATAAACTTAGTCTTGGTTTCTTTTTCCTTTGACTGATTATGGTACTTTATATGACTTCCCATATCTTTAAACATCTCTTTTTTATAGTTTTTATTTTTGAAATTAAAATTGAATTACGTCGTTTTCCTCATTCCTTTTAACCTTTTCCCTGTACCCACCCCATCCCTGCTCTCTCTCAAATCCATGGTCTCTATTCCCTCTAAATATATAATACAACCTGTTTAGTCTGTGTAATGTTGCTTGTACGAATGTGATTTGGGGCTGACCACTTGGTACTGGATAATCAGGTCAAGGGCCCTTCCTTGGGTCAAACGATTTCTCCAGCTCTCAGCATTCCCTTGTTGCCTGGAGTTCTTCATCTAGAGCTGAGGCCCAGTGACATTTCCTCTTCCAGGTTAGTGTGTCTGTTGGTACATCCTTTTCAGGTCTTGTTTAGACAGCTATGTTGGTGAGGCAAACTTCCTGTTCCTCTGGTTCTTACAATTTTTCTTCCCCCTCTTCCTCTATATTCCTTGAACCTTAAGTGCCCAAGTTGTATTGTAGATAAACATCTACTTTTTAAAAAAAAATTTTGTATTTTTACTCGGTGTGCATGTACATGTGTGTACACATCCCATGTAGAGGTCAGAGAATGGGAAATTGATTCTCCCATTCCACCATGAAGGTTCCATGCATCAATCACACTTGAGCCCTTAGTCTTGGCAACAGGTATCTTTATTCACTCAGCCACCTTTATCCAATGATGATGATACTGGTTTTCTTTTTTTTTGGTTTTTCGAGACAGGGTTTCTCTGTGTAGCTTTGCACCTCTCCTGGAACTCACTTGGTAGCCCAGGCTGGCCTCGAACTCACAGAGATGCGCCTGGCTCTGCCTCCCGAGTGCTGGGATTAAAGGCGTGCGCCACCACCGCCCGGCGATACTGGTTTTCTAACCTAAGCATGAATGGAGATTTTGACCCGGGTCCAATTCTGTTTTCTTTTTAGGTGACCATATGTGTTTGTCCTCTGAACTTTTGAAAGTCTTTTTCTTTGGTATTTTAGAACATAATGAATGCCTCTTATTATGAGTCTTTGGACAGCTTGGTAGTTGGTGAATCCTGACAATCCAGAGACTCAAATGCATGTATTTAAATATCTCCTTCTTGTTCTGAGTAATCCTTTGCTACTGCACCCCATTATCATTTTATAAGCATAGTCATTTGAGAATTCCAAGCATATATATGAATATGCATTTTTGAAAATTCCTGCTTCCTTGTGTTGTGAGTTTCCCTTGGGACTCTGGCTCTCTTTCCCTTAACTTTTTTTTTTTTTTTTTGGTTTTTCGAGACAGGGTTTCTCTGTGTAGCTTTGCGCCTTTCCTGGGACTCACGTGGTAGCCCAGGCTGGCCTCGAACTCACAGAGATCCGCCTGGCTCTGCCTCCCGAGTGCTGGGATTAAAGGCGTGCGCCACCACCGCTCGGCTTCCCTTAACTTTTGTTTAGTGGTATTTCTAGTTAGTTTCAGCTATCGACTTGACAGCCCAGTGGTATGTGAGGGAGTCTGAATTGGAACACGTCTTGAAGCATGTGGGCATTTTCTTGATTGCTAATTGATATCGAAAAGCTATTCTTAGTTGTCAACTCGACTCCATCTGGAATTAACTAAAACTCAAGAGGCTGGGTACACCTGTGAGGGATTTTTTTCTTAATTAAATCATTTGAAGTGGGAACACCACTTTTAATCTTGATTTTAATCTTGATCTTTTGAGTCTAGAAGATACACTTTTAATCCACATCTTTTGAGGTAGGAAGAAACACCTTTAATCTAGGCCACACTTTCTGGGCAGCCTCATGAACTGAACTACTGGGTTTTTGGACTTTCTGTTGGTAGACTAGCTGGAGCACAGCCTGTAAACTATTCTAATAAATCCCCTTTATAAATGTGTGTGTGTGTGTGTGTGTGTGTGTGTGTGTGTGTGTGTGTGTGTGTGTGTTTTCTAGAGAACCTGACTAATGCAATGCTGATTCCAGACACAGGGTGAGACAGTAACTTTCTCTTGCTTTGTTTCATGACGATCTCATTCAGACTTGCTCTTTAGCCAAGACTGACCTTGAACTCTTGATCTTCCTGTCTTAGGAGCACTGAGGTTATGGGTGTGCACCGTGGTGCCCAGTGTCTTCTCCTGTTGCTGTGATAAAACACCCTGAAAAAACCGTTTGGGAAAGAAGTGGTTTATTTTAGCTCACAATTCCAGTTTACAGTCCATCATTGCAGGGAAATCAAGGCAGGAACTGGAAGCAGCTGGCACATTGTATGTGATCAAGAACAGAGAACAATGAATTAACACATGTGTACTCTGCTTCCTTCATATTTACACAGTTTAGAAACCTTTTTAGAGAATGGTATCACCCACAATGGGTGGGTCTTCCCACCTTAGTTAACATAATCAAGATAACCCAGAGATAAACCCACAGTCCAACCCAATTCAGACAATAAGTCTCTCCTTGAGATTTTATTCTTAGGTGAACCTAGATTGTGTCAAGTTAACAATTAAAACTATCACACCCAGCAATTATTTTTGTTTCTAGAAAGAGATTTTAAAAGGGTTTGTTGTTGTTGTTTTTATTTTTATGTGTGCACACACACGAATCATGTGCATGCAGTAGTACCTTCAGAGGCCAGAAGAGGTCACCAGATCCCCTGGGACCTGGAGTTACAGACTATTGTGAACAGCCATGTAGATGCTGGAAATCAAACCAAGGTCCTCTGGAAGAGAATCCAGTGTTCTTAACCACCAAGCCATCTGTCCATCCCCAGAGATTTTAAAAAGTTTAACTACTAGAAAAGCTATCAGAAGTCATCAGAAACTTTAAGATAGGTTAGCCTGGGCTGCAGATGCCCAGCGGTTAAGAACTCTTGTTTCACTCTCACAAGAACTGCAGTTCATGTATGAACCCAGCACCCATGCACCAAACCAGGTGTGCTGTGCACGCCTGTAACTTCATCTCTGGGGCAAGGCAGGGAGGGAGACAGGGACTGGAGGATCGAGGGGGATTTCTGTTTTCCAGCTTACCAGAATACATAAGCTCCAGGTTCAGGGAGAGACCCTGTCTTAAAAAGGAACAGGTGGAGCCGGGCAATGTCGGCCCATGCCTTTAATCCCAGCACTTGGGAGGCAGAGGCCGCTGGATCTCTGAGTATGAGGCCAGCCTGATCTGCAGAATGAGTTCAGGACAGCAGGGCTATACAGGGAAACCCTGTCTCAAAAAACAAACAACAAAAAAGCCGGTAGAGAATAATAAAGGAGGCCTTCCACTGCCTTCTTGTGACCTCTTCATGCACAAGCATGTGCACCTACACTTGTGAATGCATGTATACAGATGTATAGACACATAAGTAAATAAATGACATCTTTAAAATTACGTATTTTAAAATTAGATCATCCCCTGCTGGCCACCATTCTCTTACTTACATCTGGAGGAGAGTTTGCAAACTTTCTTTCTTTCTTTTTTCTTTTTCTTTTTTTTTTTAAGTCAGGGTTTCCATGTAGTCTAGGCTGGCCTCGAACTTGCTATTAGCAAAATAGGGCCTTGAACTCCAGGTTGTCCTTCCTATACCTCCTCAGTGCTGGGCGCATAGACTTGCCCCATTATACCTGGTCTATCCAGTGGTGAGGATTAAACCCAAGGGCCTTGTGCATGCTATGCAAGCACTCTACCAACTGAGCCATGTCCTCAACTCCGTGGTTGCCAAGCTTTTAAAATTCAGTTATTTTACTAAAGTAAGTCTGATGCAGAAGTCTAATATATTTGCAGATATAATAGATAATAGGTGGTGAATAGGTGGTGCTTTGGGGGGGTGAGGTTACAGAGTGTCCATGTTTCTTAGCTCTGCCCTTAATAGTGACCTGTAATATACTTATCCTTTGAGCATAGTTTTGAAAAGCTTTGATCTAGGGTTGCTAATCATTTGTCTAGTGGGGAAAAACAATGAGTTTAAAATTAGTTTTAACTAGTTTAGTTTGAAATAAGCTTGAACGTAATTTTTTTTTTCTTTTTTTGTGTTGCTGAGGATTGAGCTAGGGCCTTAGGCATTCAAGGCAAGCACTCTGCCAACTGGATTATAGTTGAGTAATAGTTTGCTGCAGCAGTATTGAATCTTCCATAGCACTGGTTTCTTTGTTTTGCTTTGTTTTCAAGACAAAGTTTCTCTGTGTAGCCTTTGCTATCCTGGAACTCACTCTGTAGACCAAGCTGGCCTTGAACTCACAGAGATCCGCCTGCCTCTGCCTCCCAAGTGCTGGGATTAAAGGTGTGTGCCACCACCATCCATCTCATAGCGCTGGTTTCCAAATAAAGAAATAAGTAAAGTGTGATTGCTGATGTGCCTTTGTTTATTGAGCAAATAACTTAAATTGATTTAGAACCAACAACTTGTAAAGGGTGGCTAGAGATATCACCCTCCTGCCTCACCCATCTGCTGTTAGTAAGAGCACCCAGTGTAGCCTCCTCATTCACACAGTGGGTAAGTTGGATCTTACAGAAACAGGACAAAAGGAGACTTAACTGTGTATGAAGATCAGTGAAATGTTGCATGTTTTAATGTGTTGGCATTGGACAGGGCCTAGTGATGCTAGTGCTCTCCCACTAAGCTGTTTGCTTATATAATTTTGTGTTTTCTTAACAGGAAAAAATTAAAGAGCACATCTAAGTACATCTATCAAACGTTATTTTTGAATGGTGAGAACAGTGACATTAAGATCTGTGCTCTAGGTGAAGAGTGGAGCTTGCACAAAATCTATTTATGTCAAGTGAGTATTTCACTGGTGTTTTAGGCATTGGGGAGCTGCTTAGAGAAGTTTGGGGTCTCTGGAGTATGTTTTGCTGTTTGGATGGATTTCATAGTGCACTCTCACCTAGTGAAGCATCTGCTGGAAAGAAAGATGGTGGGCCCTGCAAGTGAAAGCTGGCTTCAGCCTGCAAACCAGGTTTTGAAATTCTTGGTCATACTACCCACTGTTATGTAGGCTGGAGTTTCTGTCCCACAAGTGCTCCCATTATAAATGCTCAGCCAATAGTTCAGGCTTGTTACTAGCTAACTCTTACATTTTAAATTAACTCATTTCTGTTAATATATATGCTGCCACATGGCTCGTGGCTTTATCTCTCCAGTATGTCTTGTTTACTCTCTGGCTAGTGACTCCTCTCTCTCTCCGCCCTTCTTCATCCTAGCACACTTAGTTTGGTTGTCCCACCTAAACTTCCTTCCTGACTACCAGCCAGTCACCCTTTTATTAAACCAATTTGAATGACAAATCTTTACAGTATTCAAAAGGATTATTCCACAGCATTTCCCCCTTTTTGTCTAATTAAAAAAAAGAAGGTTTTGAGCACCATTTGTAGGTGGACTTTTATTTCCAGGCTACCAGTTTCCAAATAACAAACACAGAGACTTATTATTAATTGTAAATACTCGGCCAATAGCTAAGGCTTGTTACTAGATAATTCTTACATTTTAAATTAACCCATTTCTATTAGTTTTATGCTGCCACATGGCTCATGGCTTTACCTGTCCTCCAGCATATCTTGCTCCCTCTGCATCCCGTGGCCACTCTTCTGATTCCACACTTCTTCTTCTTCCCAAAATTCTCCTAGTCTGGCTCTCCCACCCAATCTCTCCTGCCCAGCTATAGGCCAGTCAGTTCTTTACTAACCAATGAGAACAATACATATTTAAAGTGTACAAAAGGATTATTCCTCACTCTGTTGCCTCTTAGTTGTCAAGAAGTTTGTTTTAGTGCCTTTGCTGAAAAATGGAAGAATTTAGGAGAAAATCTGTAATGTTCAGGTTAAGGTTATTAAATTTCTTTTATAACGAATTGAATATGTTTCTCTGAAATACTGTTCTTTGTAGAAAGTGAATGAGAAGTTTATGCTTACTCCCTTTCCTAGAAAACCCAGTGGAGTTAAAGACAAGACCTGTGAGTGGTAATGTCATTTGGCTGATGTACCTGTTTGACTTTTGTGCTAAAAGTTTTTCTGTCTCTATTTTCCCCTTCAAAATGGCTCAGAATTTTCAAAATAGAACACAACATGGTGCTAAGAGCTCAGACAGTTTTTTCTCTTTAAAATATTTATTCTTCTTTTGTGTGTGTCTGCACATGCTTGTCATGGTGGGTGTATGTGTCAGAGGACAACTTGTGGGAGTTGATCCTCTCCTTCTACCAGTCCTGGGAATTGAACTCAAGTTGTTAGTCTTGGCAACAAGTGCATTTAACCTCTGAGCCATCTCCCCAGGCCCCTCAGACATTTTATTTCACTTATCTTTCATCCAATCAGTGTACTAGACCTTGTGGGCTCTTACCCATGGATTTAGTGTTCCCTTCATTGTCGGAGAATAAGGGACTCAATGGCAGTAGAGCTAGAATTTTCCAGCGAAGATGTTCCTTCCACATTTAATTAGATTTCTTTTAAAAACTTGTTTTATCTCTGTCATTTAAAATATACGTATTTATATATGGATCTGTGTGTGGGTTTGTGCAGTTGAGTACAGTGCCTGTGAAGCCCAGTAGAGGGTGTCAGATCCCCAATAGTGAATTGCCTTATGTGGGTACAAGGAACTGAACTCAGCTCCTGAAAAAGGGCAGCAAGTTCTCATAACTGCTTAGCCATCTCTCCAGTCCCTCCTCCCACATTTAAATCACAACTTTTTTTGTTTTTGCTTTTGAGACAGGGTCTCTCTGTGTAGCCCTGGCTGTCCTGGATCTCGATCTATAGAACAGGCTGGCCTGGAACTCACAGAGACTTGCCTGCCTCTGCCTCCCGAGTGCTGGGAATAAAGGCGTGTGCTGCCACTGCCACCTGACTTTAATCAAAGCTTTTAAAAATTATTTTTGAACAAGTTTACTTTGATTTGAAGAATATGGTCCAGAAATTTTTAAGAAAGGAAGGAAAGATGAAATCCTTTATATCCCAAAGACTATAATCAGGGTATATCAGAATACCAATCTTTACTGTATCTGTCTTTTGAATCCCTAAAAGAAAAAGCAGTCTCTTACTGACTTAAAGGTAAGGTGGCCTCTGTGAAACCTGATTAGTTATCATCTAAGTCTCATGATCCATGCCAGCATCTTCAGACAGAAACCGTTGTCTGTGTCCTTGTTATGGGCCACCGTGAACAGCTGGTCTTGTGTATCTGCAGGTTTCACAACCTCAGATGTAACAACTCTGTGTTATAAATATTTGGAAAAAAAGACAGTTGCATCTGTACTGAACATATAAAGCTTTTGTCACCCCTAAAAAACTGTGTAATTATTACATAACATTTACATTGCATTAGGCACAAGTGACCTGCAGGGGACTTAGAGTGTGAAAGCCTATGCACTTCAGCATCTCATTTAGTGTTGATTGTGTCCTGGAGCCACAAGTGCAAACAGATAATCCTAAATGCTGAGGAATGTTATATTTCCTTCTATTTTAATTATTTATAATTTTTGACGTGCAGTGGAACTTTTAATTAGTAAATGTTTGATCTGTTCTAAAGTACTACAGTGCTAATTATGAGGAATGGATATGGTAGGCAATGATAGACTTTACCTATTGTTGGAATTCAGAAGCCATTGTGGTCACATAAAACTAAATTGTGGGTCTTGGATTTCTTTGGGGTGCATCCTTTCTGGTCCGATCTGGGAGTACTCTAGATCCCTGATTGCTGAGGGACCACAGAAAGAAGGTAGTAGTCTGAAGAGGACTTGTTTCTTGAGCTCTCCTGAGTGCAGAATCACACACCAGTGTGCATGCTGTTGCTTGTGAGAAATGCTGCAGTGTGTACTCCCAGGAGCTGCTGTGACTGGTGAGAAGTTGACCAGGTGCCACAGTGATGCGGGTCGGGTCGGGACTCTGATAGTAGTTAAGAATCTGGTTTAGTTTTGCAACAGTATCAAATTTAACATGTAGTTCACTCTAACGTGTAATGACCGTATTTTAATTTGTTTCCTCCTGTAGATGTTTTGATGCTCTTTTTCTCCTGAAATGGTATGTTAGATTAGTTTTGATTAGGTAGTTGCTTGGAATTAGAAATGAGAAAAATATTTCGAAGATAAAGTACTAGCTAATCATTGACTTTTTTTTTTACAGTCTGGCTACTTTTCTAGTATGTTCAGTGGTTCTTGGAAAGAATCCAGCATGAATATTATTGAATTGGAGATTCCTGACCAGAACATTGATATAGAAGGTATGACCTCCATAATTATTAGTGTATAAAAATCTTAAAAACAGAACCTTACTATTCTTTTGATGAAAAATATCCTAGCCTTATAGGCTCGGGAAAAGTTGTGTTATATACAGGAAGGTGAAGATTTCCTATTAATTTACTCCATAGCTTATCTCTTCTGTTCTTCCTGTCTCTGTTTGTCACAGGAGTCTAATCAATCTACTTATGTGTCTGTGGATATGAGGGATGTGGGAAGAAGGATAGAAAGTATGACTACTTTTTTAAAGAATGTATTGAGGGTTGGCAATATAGTTGAGTGTTAAGAGTACTTTCCTACCCTGTACTAGGTTTGATCTCTTAACAGCAAGAAATAAAAATAAATGATGTGTGAAGATCTTTTGTGGAGCAATAAGCATATGAAGCATGTAGCAGGCTGGGTCAGAGCTCAGAGGACCTGTGGCTGAGGAAACAAGGCTGGGGAGAGGATACCGGGTTGTGGAACCAGCTCCATGAGCCTCCATAGACCGCTCTCTCCGGTTCCTATCCTGCTTCTCCTTCTGCTCGTCTCATTGCATAGGCCGAGTGGAAAGACCCAGGGCCTGCTCCATTCGCAAAGAAACTTGAGGTTCACACAGCAAACCGAAGAGCATCCAAGAGAGTGCCATTGGAGGAGGAGCAGTCTTGGATAGCTTTGAGGAGCTGGGCATGAGTGGGCACAGACAAGGCCAGGAGTTTAAACTCACACCTTAGTGGCCTGGTGCCACAGGTATATAATCCTGGTACTGAGGAGGCTGAGGCAGGAGGATTGCTGTGAATTGGAGACCAGCCTGAGCTACATAGTGAGTGAGTTCCTTACCTACTCCCCTAAAGAAAATACTGTCATAGAGTGATGGGCTGTGTACCAACACTTAGTGATTGATCTACTCATCAGTTCTGGCACACCCATCTTCCAGGAGGCCTTCATTCTCACTACTGACTGTGTTAAGATTAGACAGAGAAGAATGTGGCAGGAGCGGGCGGAATCCCCTGCAGCAAGCACGTTATGTATTAATACCACCAATAGCGATGGCTGCCGTCTAATCTGTGCTGCGTCTCTAGGTTCAGACTAATGTCCTTGCTGCTTGTGCAGGGCGTGCCGCACCCCTGCAGGGAGCGTTTCATCATGTGTGTGCACTTTGCTTTCAGCACTGCAGGTTGCATTTGGATCACTGTATCGAGATGACGTCTTAATCAAACCCAGCCGTGTCGTCGCCATTTTGGCTGCAGCTTGCATGCTGCAGTTGGTGAGTATGCCACCACTCAGCAGTGTCACAGTGCCTTGTATATCTCTGCACACCTCTAAAACAGAAGTGAAATTCTGCTTCTGCAGTTCTTAAAACAAACTGTGTAAACATGCCATTTGTTAGAAATTGTTGAAAATGCTTGACTAAAAGCCGTTAGTTCAATTGAGGGGCTTTGATCCCTGTGTGAAGTGGATGGGAGCTATTTCTGGGTAGCTTCCTTGGTGAGTTGCTATTTGGGAACGTTCGCTTGCCCACGTTCCTCTGCAGACTTCTGTCCATCAGTGACATGACTGCTGAGCAGATGGTTTATGATCAGTAATTTAGTTCATTGGGTCAAAGAAGCATTGAGTCTGTTATTTAAGCTCCTGATTGTGATACCATCCTATGTAAATGATGTGTGTCATTCAGTGACTGTATGTTGAGTATACTGTGCAGTGTGGGACTTGGTGAAGGGGGCCAAAGAGGATGTAGTTCCTAAACATGGACAATCTGTGTGTGCCTTCAAGGAGCTCACAGTACAGTGAGGGTCAGGTGAGAGGTGGATACATAGCCAAAAGGTCCAAACAGTTACCGGGTTAAAAGTAGAACATAAGCACCTCGTGGGGTCTAATGAACTTGTAAAGACAGGAAGGGCCAGTTCAGCCTAGACCCTCACAGGACACTGTATTTTAGATTGAGTTTGAAGTGTCTTACCTTTCATGTGTGAAAAGAGGGGCAAAACAGCATTTTGGACCAGGAACAGAAAGACCGAAAGTCGGAGAAAATGGAGGATTAGAGAATTAAAGAGACTGAGTTCCCAGCATCAGTTAAATAGAGTTGGAGGACTGGCAAGACAGCTGAGCCTATAAAGGTGCCTCCACCCAGGCTGAAGATTTGAGTTCATCCCCAGGACACACATGGTGGAAGGAGAGAACTGAGTCCCCCAGCTATCCTTGATCAGTACGTGCATGCTGTGAAGTGTGCTCCCACCATCCATACAGCATAAGTAATAAACATCTAAAATATCCAGGGACGGTAGTGCACATCTTTAATCCAGCACTCAGGAGATAGAAGCAGGCAGATCTCTGAGGTCAAGGTCAACCTGGTCTATACAGTGACTTACAGACATGCCAAAGTTACATGCTAAGATCCTATCTCAAGAAACAAAACAAAAAATAAATAAAATTAAAAAAGATTAGAGAGAAAGGCCAAACCCAGCACATGAGGGTTCCTTTTGTGTGTTGGAAAGTTTAACTTGACCTGCGAGCACCTTTGGAAGATTTTAATCAGGGAAAGACTGTTTCTACTTCAGGTTGGCTGAGGGTCCAGCTCTGTTGTGGAGCACTCGCCTGGCTTGTGCAGGCCTTGGGTTTGATTCCCAGCCCCACACCAGAACAACAGAGGACTATTTCAGGTACAATGTGTGAAGAAAAGCGGGCACATTTGAGACACAAATGTACTGCGGTTGTCCAAATGCCATCTAGATGAAGTTAACAGTAATAACCAGAGAGGAAAAGGCTCCAGAAGAGGAAGTCGGGTGGTGGGGTGGGATCTACTGGGACAGTGAAGTTGAGGTGTTAGGAAAAGAAGGATCTAGAATTAAATTCAAAAACCAATGCGTCAATGTTATGCTTTAATTTAAACTTCTGTGGTTTGACCTGCTGATCTATTTAAAGTGCTTGTTATTAGGCTAGGCGGTAGTGACGCATGCCTTTGATCCCAGCACTCGGGAGGTAGAGGCAGGTGGATCTCTGTGAGTTCAAGGCCAGCCTGGTCTACAGAGTGAGATGCAGGACAGCAAGGGCTGTTACACAGAGAAACCCTGTCTGGAAAAACCAAAAAAATAAAAATGAAAAAGTGCTAGTTATTAGCTTATTTATTGTCCTGGTTGATAATATTTTTTTTCAAATATTTTTATCTTTCCAATACTTACTTTGAATATATATTATAACTTTGGTCATTTTTTGGATTTGTTCTAAATCTGCTTTCTGCCTTATTTTTATAACTTACTAATTCTAACTTAATAATATAGTTGCATGATGAATGTATTTCAGAAATCTGAATGAAAAATGACAATATTCTCTGTGTACGTGGGAGGTGGTTTATTTGAAACCTATGTGACTCCTTTAGATTACAATTTTAATATGTTATTTAAAACTGTGATATACTTGTTTAGAGCATCGGTTGGGTATTGATGGTGCTTTAAACTTTACTGAGCGATGTTCCATACATCTGTATCATTTCTTTGTCTACCCTGTCTCTTGGTTAGCTGACTGTGTAAAGAGTTCTTAGATTAGTAAGAGCAGGAAGAACGTACGGTAAGGTGCTGTTGAAGACATTTGCAAAGGTCCAGAGTGGAAAACAGAACTGAGACACGCAGCGTCTCCCTGTCCCTGTGCCTCCCCTGCCCATTTCGTTCTCCGTCCCAGGTGTGGAGTGGGGCACTTGCTGGATCCTTTCTTCGTTGTTTTTATTGACTTAGAAGAAACTTAGGCTTGCTGCACTTAATGAGTTTTCGTCCTTCCTTCCTTGCTATTTTGATTTATTTTTACTTTTTAATATTTAAAAGCACATATGAGAGCTGATTTTCCCAGGTGAAATGGCCTTTCCAGTGCTTGTTTATATTTACAGGATGGTTTAATACAGCAGTGTGGTGAGACAATGAAGGAAACAATTAATGTGAAAACTGTGTGTGGCTATTATACATCAGCAGGGACCTATGGATTAGACTCTGTAAAGAAAAAGTGAGTCGCTTTTCCTATTTTTTCCCATCCCACTTCTGGGAATTTGGCTGTGTTGTAGTTTTATGAGAGTGTAAGAAAGAATTAGTGGGGGAAAGAATAGAGTGATAGAATTTGTTATTTTGAAAGCCCGCTTTTCTTCTGGACTGAGCGTTAAGTTGCTCAAGAGTTGCGCTTGTCGGTGACCATGGGGGGGCTGAACTATGCTCATACAGCTGTGGCCGCCACTTGAGGAGGCGCCATAGACTTTATATACTAATGTAGATCTGGGTAGTTTGACTCTTGAGAATTGCAGAGCTTATTTTCAGATGGTACGGAAGGTAACGTCTTACAAGGCATTTAACTTCTTAATGAGAAATGATACTAATATAAAGGGAATACCCCATAATAACTACTGACAAAAGCTATACTAAATTTCAGATCACTGAGGTAAAAACTTTGAGCATGGCCTAGCATGATTAATATCTTTTCTCTAAACTATAAGATGTCAGTGAGTTACCAGTTTCAGATAAAATAGCTAACCACACTTTTCCCTCAGGTGCCTCGAGTGGCTTCTGAACAACCTGATGACTCACCAGAGTGTGGAGCTTTTCAAAGAACTCAGGTATTTGGATTCCAAGAACCTTCACAGCAGATCACCCTAAAGTGATACTTTGCATTTGCTCAGGTATTCAGGTGTTTGTAAAACACAAAGAACAGTATGAGAACCAGTTCTAGTGTGTACACCTTTAATCTTAGCACTTGGAACACAGAGGCAGGTGGATCTCTGAGTTAGAGGGCAGCTTGGTCTGCAAAGTGAGTTCCAGGACAGACAGGGATACATAGTAAGACCCTGTCTCAAGAAGAGGAGGAGGAGGAGGAGCAGAAGGAAGAGGAGGAGAATAAGGAGAAGAAGAGCAAACAATTTAGTGAAAGGCACACTGACTGTATACGCAAACTGAGTAAATGCTGCACATCTCTCTCTTTATTGTAAATGATAAAATGTACATATACTGTTTAACAATTGTAATAGAAATGTACCACTCCTCTAAGACTGTAAAGACGTTCAAGTGCTACCTCGCTTCTGCAAGCCTGTAAAGCTTCAAAAGGGATAGTTTGAAAACCATTTTTATCATAGAACATGGCCTTGCTAGAAATCGCTAGGGTGCATCCTTCCTGCACAGCTGCTCTGCAGTCTGGTGGAGGGTGGTGAACACCCTCCCCACACCCCTGCTTTCCTGCACAGCCGCTCTGCAAGACCATGTTGTACACCAGATGATAAAAGATTTCTTTACCCTTTATTATCAAGCAAAATCCTGCTCAAATATTAAAGGACAAATGGGGGACCTAAATTGAGTCACAAGCCACCTCTTACACCCGCAGTTGCTCATTCCTCGCTCCCCAAAAGGCCTGCCCCTTCCTCGGTCATGGCTATCCCCAATGAAAACCCTTCCTCTTGGACCGAAAAAAAAAAACCGCTCCTCTCAGTTGGCTAGCTGACTGGTCACTGAATTCCTGAAACAACATGTTTTAGGGGGAAAATGTTTTGTAAAGATTTATTTTAGTGTAAGTTTGTCTGCCTGTATGTCTCTGTCCAGGAGTCCTTAGAGACCAGAAGAGGGTGTAGGATCCACTAGAACTGAAGTTAGAGGTGTTTGTGAGCCACTATGTGGGTTCTGGGAAGCAATAAGCACTCTTACCATTGAGCCATCTTCCAGACCCTATCTTACAATTTCTATGGGACAATAGATGGCTCAGCGGATGGAGGCACTTACGCAAAAAGCCTGTTGACCTGTATTCTATCCCCTGAACCACAGGGTAACGGGAGAGAACCAGTCCCTGTCACTTGTCCCGTGACTTCCCACCTGTCATGGCCTGTCTTCTCTCCCTCCTGCTCGCTCGCGCTCTCTCTCTGTCTCCCCACAAACACACACACACACACACACACACACACACACACACACACACACGCTTACACACATAGAATAAAATTAAAAAGTAATGTTTACTGAACCTGATAAATTATACTCATAGTTAGCTTGGCCCTTTGAACTGCATCTATGTATCATTCACTCTGTCTTACTTTCTTCTTGATGTCCCTGGAGTATTAAAGCTGTACCATTGAGGACTGTGAATGATGCAGTTTGGTTGTGCTGTGTTTTCCACGGTCAGAGCTTTCCTGCATCAGTGAGACTGGAAAATTCTGGATGGGAAGGATTTTTTGAAGGCTCTAAGGTATAACTGTCTGTCATGAGTGGTTTTTTTGATCTTTTTTTTTTAGTAGTAGTTTTGTTTTTGGGGTTTTTGTTTTTGAGACAGGCTCTCTCTATACAGCCCTGGTTGCCTTGGAGCTCACTATGTAGATCAGGCAGGCCTTGAACTCACAGATTCACCTAGCTCTGCCTCTGGAATGCTGGGATCAGAAGCATTTTGATGAAAACGAATACAACAAAGGGTTTAGTATGTCATGGCTTCCGAGGTGGGAGAGATATTAAAGATCTCACTGAACTTTGTCAAAAAGAAGGTGTCATAGAGGAGTCATCTTAAAAACCCGGAAGCTTTTCTGGTTAAAGGAAAAGGAAAGAAAAAAATAGAGTGAGCAGCCAGTGACCGCATTTCGTTTCTACCTTTAAACTACTGTACCTCCTCATCTTACTCTGAGAGTAATAAAAATGTTGTTTGTTTGCTTTTGGTTTGTTTGTTCTTTGAGACAAGTTCTCACTGTGTAACCCTGACTATCCTGGAATTCACTGTGTTGATCAGGCTAGCCTTGAACTCACAGAGATCCTCCTGCTTCTGCTGGAATTATAGACATGAGCTACCATGCCTGACTTAAATGGACTTTCTGACTAGAAGTTTTTTTAAACATAGATGTTAAAAGTTATTTTGAATAGTATGTGGTGTCCCGCTGATAATCTTAGCACTGAGAAGGCTAAGACAGGAGGATGGCCAGTTTGAGAACAGCCTGGTCTATAGCAATTTCCTGCTTCAGGAAAAGAAAGGGTACTTTGAAGATGCAGCTATTTTAGTGAATTTTCAATTTTTTTTTTCATAGAAATATGGGGAGGAAGATGAGAGTGCTGCTGTTTAGTCAGATTCTGCAGTACTTTTCCAGCATCTGAATAAATGCAGGCTCTGCAGATCCTTCACAACCCGGGGTCACAATTAAGGGTTGTGTGAAATGGAGTGCTAGCGAAGGTGCTCTGTCTCGTGCAGATAACATTGCTGCCATCTTCAGTTCCATATTTCTTTTGACAGAGAAGTAAAAGTTTTTAGGGCCAATGAGATGGCTTAGCAGATAACAGCAGTTGTTACAAAGGCCTCATGACCTGATCCCAGGCCCCTGAACCTGTGGTAGAAAGAGAGAGTCAAGTCCTGAAAGTTGTCCTCTGCACACCAGGGCACTCGTGGGCCTGCACTCACACATGTTACATACATACAAATACAAATTTTTTAAAAGTCACCAGAGTCCTTTAGCTGTGTATGAAGACGAGCTTACTTCTGTGTTTTGTCTTTTCCAGTATAAACGTCATGAAACAGCTCATCGGTTCATCGAACTTATTTGTGATGCAAGTGGAGATGGATGTGTATACAGCTCTTAAAAAGGTATTGGTGTATGTATACAGGAATGTTACTTCAGTTGCTCCCATAGTGAAAAACTGGAAACAGTGCTTATGGGTGCTCAGTTAGGCAGAACTACACGTGCTGCTTGGTTTACAGTGGGTTGTGTCTGGTAAATCCATCATCATAAGCTGAAAATAACGAACCTGAACACCACAGCTCAGCCTCACCCTCCTTGAATGTGCTCATAATGCTTATTTAGCCATAGTGGCCACATCACCTAACCTAAGACACTTACATCATTAAGTGTCATGTGACTTCTATAATTTGTTCAGTTCTCTCCTGAAGTGAAAGCATGTGATCCTTGGTGCATTTCTCTGTCACCACAGTTGAAAACCTAAGTCAGTCCACCACGCCATCTCAAGCAGGTGGCTATGTGCCAAATCCTAAGTCTTTATTTAGATTTGGGGGTTCGTGACTGTCTTAGTTATTGTTCTGTTGGTGAAGAGACCCCATGACCAAGACAACTTATAAAAGAAAGCATTTAACTGGGGGCTCGCTAATAATTTCAGAGGGTTAGTCCATGATTAGCATGGCAGGGAGCATGGCAGCAGGCAAGCAGGCATGATGCTGGAGAAGTAGCTGAGAGTTTAAATCATTATCAGCAAGATGAAGGCAGAGAGAAAGATTGGACCTCCGGTGGGCTTTAAAACCTCAGAGCCCACCCCCATTGACACACTTTCAAAATGCCACACCTTCTAATCCTTCTCAAACATTTCCACCAACTGAGGACTAGGCATTCAGATAATGCTGTTCTCTTTCAAACCACCACAATATTTGGTTTTGCTTTTTTTTCTGGAGGCAGGGCCTCATTCTGCATCCCACACTTGTACCAATCCTTCTGCCTTGGCCTCTTATGTGCAGTGATTACATATAGGAGCACCAAGCCCAGCTTTTTTTTACCCTTTTGACAGATTTAGGTCTAGTTTTGTTTCACAGTTGAAAACAAAATCAGCTATTACTGTGACTGTTGGTGAGAACTAGCATCTGTACTCAGCGGCCACTGCTCTTGCCCCACTGCATCACCTGTAATAATCCACAGTCCCTGTGCAGAATGTAGTGTGCACTTCATGCAGCTGTGAAACCTTTAGTGAGAACCTTCCAAGTCACAGCGCTTCTGTGGTCAGGATGAGACTGCAGCTGTTAGTTTCCTTCAAGGAAACTTAGCATTTGGGCTGTTGAAAAATGTGGGGGTGGGGGGAGACCCCACTTTTACCTGTGAGCTCCAGTGGCAATCACTCTGTCAGTGTAGCTGATTTGATGCCAGCACCATGCTTATAAACACTCAGTACACATCCCTTAGTGACCTGGGGAGCACTCCATGACACTCCAGTTGCAAATGAAGAAATTTAACCCCAGAGAAATTAAGTGATGTGTTCAGTTTCTACATGACAGTTGGAGAGTGAACATCCACACTCATTACTGCTTCCATACCGTCTCAACATCACAGAGTCAGAATTTCCTTTTCCCGTGTTCACTTTTTTTTTCAGTCTTGTGGGCTTTTAACATATTTAGTGTTATTTTGTTAATGATTAGAATAAATTAGTACAGAATTACCAGTGTCTTATGTATGTTAAAGCTGTAGATATTTGATTCAGTAAGGTGTGCTTGCGACTCTCATTATTATAATGCACTGAGTTTTTATTATCGGAGCTCTATTTCCTGCCATGATGACTTGAAAGCTTTAATAGTAAGCTTTCATTTGCTTGTAAAATGAAAATTTTAGCCATTATCTTAGGCTAGAGATGTAGCTCAATTGGTAGAGTGTTTGCCTGGCATGTACAGAGCCTTGGGTTTAATAACCAGCACCTCTTAAACCAGTGGTTTTCAACCTTCTTAATGCTGCAACCCTTCAGTACAATTCCTCATGTTGCAGTAACCTCCCAACCATAAAATTATTTTCATTGCGACTTCATAACTGTAATTTTGCTACTGTTATGAATCTAAATACTTTTGGAGATAGAGGTTTGCCAAGGGGGTTGTGACCCACAGGTTGAGAACTGCTGACTTAAACTGAGTATAGTGGCACAGGCCTATAACTCCAGCTCTCCACAGGTTGTTTAAGGTTATCCTCAGCTACATATTAATTTCAAGGTCAGCCTGGGCTACATGAGACTCCATCTCAAAAGAAAGTTTTTTTTTAATAGGTCTATTTTAAAATATCATGAAGTGATGAAGTCTTACAATTCTTTTTTTATTATTTTTTTAACTAGTGGATGTTCCTTCAGCTGGTACCTTCCTGGAATGGGTCTTTAAAGCAGCTTTTGACAGAAACAGATGTCTGGTTTTCAAAGTGGAAAAAAGGTATATTGAAATTTTTATTGAGAATCTCCCTCCTCTCCCCCCCCCCACGCCTTTTTTTTTTTCTTTTAATGACACTTCTTAAAATCAGGCCTTGGCTTTCGCTTACAGACTTGGTTTTAGAGCTGGAAGACAGCTGAGCAATTTCCTACTTGAGCCTCCTGTTCACAGCAGGAGAGTCAGTGCTGAGTAAGGACAGGCTCCTGACCTGTGGCTGCATTCTGACCCCAGACCTACACTGTTCCCCTGTTTGTCACCAGCTCATCCGGGGAGTTATACTTGCTTGTTTGGTCGATTAGAGTTCCCCTGGTAAGCTAGGCCCCAGCTCTCAGGCAGTGACTCCTGATAGGGCCTCTGGACTGCTTCTGAGCATCACTGACTGGAAAGTAGATACAGAGGTGGTGTGTGACATGCACCACACAGTGTGTAAGCAGCCCTTGCTGGGGCTGGAGACATAGCTCAGGAGTTGTTAAGAGTGAGTACTACCCTTGCAGAGGACGTAAGTTCAGTTCCCAACACCCACATCAAGCAGCTCAGAACTGCATGTGGTATCCATTATTGATGTCAGTTAGAAGGATGGATAGCTGTTCTTGTCCTGGTCATCACGTGAAGACCCTCATATGTCCTTCTGGGTTCCTTGGGAAGGGATTAGAAAGAGAGAGAAAGTCTCATGTGAGCCACTTCCTCAAGCACACCTCTCCTACCATACTGTCCTATAAGATCAACCACAAGAATAAAAGGACAGCTGAAGTCTCAGCCAAAGGTCTACTTAGTACCAAAATTAATTTGAGAGATTTTTCAAGTTCCTCTAAGGTTTTTCACATCTTAGATTTACTAAGACTGTTGAAATCCTTGGAAGTAGCTTACTTGCATTCTAGCAGACTGTGTGTGTGTGTGTGTGTGTATCTCCATAGAAACATTTAGTAAAACAGCACGTTTGACAAGAATGCTGTTTAATTAAAACTTTCTTAATAGACTTTGAAGGGACGACTTTCCTTGAAACTGAGCAGGGAAAACCGTTTGCGTCCGTGTTCAGACATTTAAGGCTACAGTACATTATCAGTGACCTGGCTTCTGCAAGGATCATCGAGCAGGATTCTCTGGTACCTTCAGGTAAGAAAACCTGATGTGTTTGTGACTTGAAGTCATGTTTTTCTGATTGTAGCATTTCATACTTGCATAGGAAAGAACAGTTAAAGAAACCAGGAAGTTATCTTTGATCCCATAAGGTATGTATCTTTATGCTCATGGAGATGAGCATGTGAATATCCAGTGCTCACATTTCATACTGCTTTCCTGTGTCATATGTCATTAAAGTACCTGCCACAATATTTAAGTGACTAAGAAGCATTTTGCAATAGAGTACTTTGTTTTTTGTTTTCTGCACTGAGGATCAAACTCAGGGCTTTGTGCTGCATGCTAGCCCCTACCAGTTAGCTGTAGCTTCAGCCCCAACTTGAAGTGTTCGATCTCAGACTTTCACTTCCCAAGTGCTGCCGTTAGAAGCGTACGACCACACACTTGGCTCTGGGTATTCCTCAGGTTGGGTAACCAGTGCACTGTTTTGGATAGTAGCCTGAAAAAATTACTTTCAATATGTTTAAAAAGTACAGCTGCTCTTTTTATTAGTTCCTCTTAAATTTGCTTAGTTTCTGCTTTTTCTTATTCTGAATTCCTAAACATGTTGAATCAAGTATGTCTACTCATTATAATTCAAATTTCTTGAAACAAGTATTTATTTTTATAAGTCTGTTGTAGTTGTAACAAGCTGCATTTGGTAGTGTATAAGTACATTAGGACATTTGTCTAGTATGTTTAAGACCCTGGTTTTGAAGCAAAGTCCAGCAAAAAGAAAGAAAGCAAGCAGGGCACCAAGCCTATAATAGTTTAGTGTGTCCTAAACCCCAGGCAGAGATGGAAATTAGACGCCAAAGCCTATGACACGTCCTTCCAGTCAAACTTTCCTTAAGGTGCTCTAAAGACTGATTTTAATTGTGTATCAGTACGTGTCTTGTGTGTGTGTGCATTTGAGTACAGGTGCAGGCATTGGATTCTCTAGAGCCGAAGTTACACATGCTTGGTTGTGGACTGTCTGATTGTGGGCAAGGAACCAAACTTGAGTCCTCTGGAAGAGCAGCAACTGAGCCAACTCTCCAGCCCCATCTTTAAGGATGGTTGAGTTTGGAAAACAGTCTGATATAATTTACATTTGGTGTGTCTGGTACAAGGGGACAAGTTTTATGTCTGAAAGACAAATTGTATAAACATCTGGAGTCTGAAGCATTTTATTTGGTATATTTTTTTTTTTTTTTTTTTTTTTTTTTTTGATACAGGGTCTTATTGTATTGCCATGGCTGGCCTGGAGCTTTCTTCCTTTTTTTTTTTTTGATCTGGGGATCAAACCCAGGGCCTTGCGTTTGCTAGGCAAGTGCTCTACCACTGAGCTAAATCCCCAACCCGGTATAAATTTTTTTAAAAAATAGACTTATGGCCAGATTTCAGGGGTTTTTTTTCTTCCTGATGTGAAATGATTTGAGAAAGCTTGAAACAAATTTTATTCCATCTTATAAATATAAGCAAAATTTTCTGTGTGTTCAAAATTTCAATTTAAAAAGAAAATGTAAGTTAAAATTAAATGTCACACTTTTGTAAGGAAGCAGAAAGTGTCATGTGGCTCATTGGTATATGCTCTCAGAAGGAAATGGGGCTAGAGATGTAGACTGGGGCAGAGCTCTTGAGTGCCATGCACAGAGCCCTGGGTTCCATCCTCAGCAGGAGAGGGGGTGTCTTAATGTTAGGCTCAACTGAGGTTCCTTATGTCATAGAATTAGATTTGTCATAGGTCATCTCAGCAGATGTCTTATTCTGTAGCCTCTGTTAGGCCTCCTCCACTCTCATCCATCTTATCTCCACACCTCCCAAACGCTGTTTGTTTGTTTGTTTGTTCGTTTGTTTTCTAGAGGTGGGATCAACAAAATCTCAAAATCGTCTGTCTCCTCTCTGCATTTATTTAGCTGTACTAAAGAGAACCTTATCTCTCAACCTGGTGACCAGGGACCAGGAGGTTAAGACAGGCACAGTCAGTCCTAGCCCCCAGGGTCCTTTCCAGTACTGCTTGTGACCTGACCCCTCCTCCTTCCTCCACATCACCCCTTGGTTTACCCCCTTCCTTCCTAACCAGTCAGTTTATTTATAGGATTCCTACCTTCTCATTGTTTGACCTCAGCTCTGGGAACATGTATCTTTGCAGAATAGTAGGCACTTACCACCCATGGAAATGCCATGACTTGTTCATCAGAATTGGTCTGCATCAGAAGTTTGGTGTTTTCAGGCGTTATCTCACCTGCCATTCATAGCCCCATTCCCTTTCACAGTCCTCTGTCTCTTCAGCCCTCTCTTCTCCACTGCTCTGTGGAACCTTGCCTGTCTTTTCTCAGCTCCTGTGGTCTTAGATTTTGTGTAGATGGTGGTAGGTTACACACAGTTGCCCTTCCACTAGGTAAAGTTAAAAGCTAGCAAGACCTTCTTTGTTCCACACCATTTCCCTGTGCACGCCTACTGCAGAGCACTCTAGAACTTGACAGATGGCTTTTTTCCCATAATGAGATGTTACTACAGATAACTTAATAGATGAAGAATCCATTATTAAGTTCCCCAATACGGAACTTTATTAAAAACTGAAAATAGCCAGGCAGTGGTGGTGTATGCCTTTAAGCCTAGCATTCAGGAGGCAGAGGTAGGCAGATCTCTGTAAGTTCAAGGCCAGCCTGGTCCAAAAATACCTGAAAACACTCTTAGGAACAATGTTCACAAATGGAATCAATGTTCTGCGAGGAGCAAAGGGAAGTACCAGCATAGCCTGGTGCCAGCATAGCCTGGTGCCAGCATAGCCTGTTTTCTCTTTTCCGGAAAGGAGGTCCTTCTTAAGTCTAAGGGAAGACTTAATGCCCTTTATCACGGTAGAGCTAAGAGTCTCATTGTTGCTGTGTATTTATAAAATAAACTGCCTGCTTTGTAAATTGCTGTTTTAAATATAAGTTTAGGAGTAAGTTTTACCGACTACTTGTTAATTGCTGTTTACCCTTTAGAATGGCTGTCCTCAGTGTATAAACAGCAGTGGCTGGCCATGCTCCGTGCTGAACAAGACAGTGAAGTGGGGTAAGTATGCTCCATCGTGTTACTGGGTATTCAGTGTGGGAGACTGAACCTGAGGCCTGGCATGTGCTCGACTGAGTGCTCTACCACAGAGTCCCCAATCCAACATAAATAGTAAGCCTTGCTATGAATTTCCACTATGGTTTTAGCGGAGCTCCTTAGGAACGGCCGTCTAAGAAAATGGGCAGAAAAGAGGACTGGAGGGGAAAGCTGCCCAATGCTGAGCGATTTTGAGAAAGCCTGTGAGCAAGACCATGGGACTCGAGACTTCTTCCAGGCAGAGCCCTGCAAACAGAAAGTGAGGTGCTTGCTTCCCTCAGAATTCTGTCTGACAGTGTCATCCTGCAGCTGCAGTCGTTGCTGCCTGAGGTACTGCTGCTGTCAGGCATGCAGCAGACGTGGTTTACATGCACAAGACTGTTTGCACCTCACATGGTTGCCGTGACTTTTTAAAGGCATCCACTCACATACTGCCATGCTGTTTAAACTGACACTTTTAGAAATTTATATGCAGATAAAGCTCATTTTCATACTGTGGGATGATGTCAAATTATGATTAATAAATAGGTTTTGAAGATATTTGCATTGAGTGAATGAAAGCCATCGGGTTATAGTTGCACAAAGGAGGCCTAAGAGAACTTTTTGTTTTGCCCTACTCTCTTTTAACACTTTTTTTTTTTTTTTTTTTTTTTTTTTTTTGGTTTTTCGAGACAGGGTTTCTCTGTAGTTTTGCGCCTTTCCTGGAACTCACTTTGTAGACCAGGCTGGCCTCGAACTCACAGAGATCTTCCTGCCTCTGCCTCCCGAGTGCTGGGATTAAAGGCGTGCGCCACCACCCCATTTTTATGCACCAAAGAATTTCCAAAAAATAATAGCCTAGTTGTAAGTTTCTGTCCAAACAGCAAATATATGAAAATGTTCTATAAAATTCACAAGATTTTTTTGTTTGTTTGTTTGTTTTTGGGACAGGGTCTCAGCCAGCTGGTGGTGGTGGGTGGTGTATGCCTTTAATCCCAGCACTCAGGAGGCACAGGCAGGCAGATCTCTGAGTTTAAGGCCAGTCTGGTCTACAGAGTGAGTTCTAGGACAGTCAGAGCTACACAGAGAAACCTTGTCTCAAACTCCTGTCCCCCACCCAAAAGACAGACAGACAGACAGGGTCTCTTTATGTAGCCCTGGCTGTCCTGGAACTGGACCAGGCTGGTTTCAAATTTACATGGTGGTGCATGCCTGGGCTACAAGATTCTTATTGTCAGGGTTTTTGAAATTTCTATTTTATTTATAGTCTCATCTTTTTCCAAGTTTGTCTGTAGCATACTTATCAGCACAAAGACGATGAAATTCCTGAAGTAGAAGAAATTAAGAAGTAGAAAATGACCCACTTATTTAGTGGAAAGCGTGTCTGAAATGTTGGTATCAAGCAGTTCCCAGTGACACTGTAGCACTGTATATTGGGCTTTAAGTTTAGGATGTTTTTGAGGTTTTTTTTCTGCTTTGTCCTTTCTCTCTTAGCAGAGACACAGCTTCTGTAAGTGTTTGCTTGACCCCTGGAGCGTGTGTTCCACCTGGGGCATAGCTCGGGTCAAATGCTGATCTGTCATGCAGGATGTCCTAGGCCTTAGCACTACAGTAAACAGGGAGGGCATACAACTATCCTGTATGACTGCACAGCCTTGTTCATGCTGCTGAGTGCCTGGTCCAGCTTCATGGCTTCCAAAGTGTGAGGACTTTGTCTTATGATCTAGTAAAGCCGCCTTCCAGGATCTCCTCCCAGACTAAAGAGGATTATCTTTCTAAAACAGAAATGCAGTGTGTCACTTCTGCCTGCATATACAGGCATCTGATGCTGTTGAGTTGCTCTTCTGGGTTACTGAGGCTTGATAATGAATATTTGACTCATTATGCAGTTTTCTTTAATATGCCTGCAAAGTATCATACTAAAAAGTTGAATAGTCACAGAACACATGTCTGGGAACTCAGGAAAACTTCAGGAGAAACTCATAATCATGACCTATAGGAGCCTTCAGCAAGCAGCCTATCCCAGAAACCTCTGTCATCTCACACTTATCTTACACTCAGCTGACCAAATCCTATGTCCGTTTGACACTCTATAAACAAAAAAGGAAAAATAGACTGTTTGTTTGTATTCCTCCCCTGCAAAGAATACACATTCTACCAAACCCCAGCAAGCACCCCCTGAGGTGCAAACAACACTTATCCTGGGCTGACCCACCCTCCCCTTGAGTTTTATGTAGCCTTGGCTGTCCTGGAACTAGCTCTGTAGATCAGGCTGGCCTCAAACTCACAGAGATCTGCCTGCCTCTTCCTCCTGAGCATTGGAATTAAAGGTGTCCACTACCACTGCCCAGCAATTTTCTGTTCTTTTAAACTCAGCTTTTTTTTTTTTCAATTGCTAGTTGCCTATTATCTATGGGAGCTCATGACTCTTATATCATTTTAGGCCTCAAGAAATCAATAAAGAAGAACTTGAGGGAAATAGCATGAGGTGTGGTAGAAAGCTTGCCAAAGATGGCGAAGTAAGTACGTCTGTGGTCTGTATGTTCTCAGCTTACTGAGGAAATTCTCTTACACTCTTTGCTTTACTTTCATGTGTTTGCAGTTTTTCCTAATATGATACTTAAAAGTGGAATATCCGTGGCACTCGTACTACCTCAAAAATAAATAAGTGCATGTTCTTTTAAAGTAGTTTAAGTGTAAGAAAGCAAATGTCTGGGACTCCTGATTACTAGAATGTCATAGTTTGAGGAGACCTTACTTCATCTTTTCTGCAGCTTGGTGTCCTGAACAAGGGTTACAGCCACCATACTCAGTAGTTACTCAGTCTTGCTTGAAACCATTGAACTTGGGTTTAGAGTCCAGACGAGAAGCTTGAGAAGGTCCCTCTGCAGTACAGAAGTTGAGATTGATGTGTGTGGGAGGTGTTGCGTAGTCTTAGTGAGGTTCTGTTTGACAGTTACCTGTTGCTAGAGTTTTTCTGCCTGGCCCACAGTCAGGGCAAATCTCTCTCACCCGCCAGTCCCAAGCCGCTCAAACCCGATCAAGTAAACACAGAGACTTATTTTGGTTACAAACTGTATGGCCGTGGCAGGCTTCTTGCTAACTGTTCTTACAGCTTAAATTAATCCATTTCTATTAATCTATACCTTGCCACGTGGCTTGTGGCTTACCGGTACTTTACATCTTCCTTGTCCTGATGGCGGCTGGCAGTGTCTCCCCACCCAGCTTCCTGTTCTCTCAATTTTCCTCTCTGTTAGTCCCGCCTATACTTCCTGCCTGGCCACTGCCAATCAGTGATTTATTCATTGACCAATCAGCAACACATTTGACATACAGACCATCCCACAGCAGTTACCCTAACTCAAAGTCGTCTGTCCCTTCAGAATGCTCTCCCCATGAAGAGCTGCCTTTGTTGTTGTAGATTGTAATCCCATCACTGAAGGAAGTTAGGGCAGGAACCTGGAGGCAGGAGCTGATACAGAGACCATGGAGGATACTGTTTACTGGCTTGTTCATCATGGCTTGTTCAACCTGCTGTCTTACACCATCCAGGATCACCAGCCCAGGGGTGGCACCACCCACAAGGGCACCTCCCACATCAATCATTAATCAAGAAAATGCCCTACAGGACAATTTGTGTGGACATTTTCTCAATCAAGTTTCCTTCTCAAGTGACTCTAGCTTGTGTCAAGTTGATGTAAGACTAACCAGAACAAGGCTAGAGACAAGCACCATTCCTGGTGCGTTTTCCTTGAACATCACCCAGGTCTGTGGTGCTGCATGGTAGGCTGTCTACCTTTCTCCAGTGGACATGTCCTCCCTGTCTGAAGTGACTCTGACTTCTCACTTTATGAGGGCCATGCTGTTCATCCGATGCTCACACGGTACCTTGTCTTTCACTTCGGTAGGAGTCTGTATACCTTCCTTTCAGCAGTCTGCCAGCCTCCCTGACCTGCCACTGTCCTGAGCTGTCTGTTTTGTCTTGTCCACCATCTTGATTCCATCTTTTTGTTTTTGTTTTTGTTTTTCAAGACAGAGTTTCTCTGTGTAGCTCTGGCTGTCCTGGAACTCAAAGATCCGCCTGCCTCTGCCTCCCAAGTGCTGGGATTAAAGTTGTGCACCACCACCACCCATTGATTCCATCTTTTTTAACACTGAGAAGCCTGAAGTGCCCACCTCCCTCTGCTGCACCATCCACATTGCTCTTCTGCTGCACCTACTCATTCAGATCCTAACTGTTGGTCCCTGAGGACTGACTGCTCTTTGGCTGCACACCTCCTTCTAGTTCTTGCTCACATTTCTTCTGACTCCCCTGCAGTTATTCTCACCCCTCCACTGGAACTGCCACAGCAGTGTCAGTGATGATCCATGTTCAAGTGTTGTTCTCTTCTTGATGCTCTTGGCAACAATGACCTTTTTCACTTATCCCTGCTGGCGTCTCTTTCCACTTGACTTCCAGGACTCTTGCGCAGACAGTTGTCTTCCTACGTCATTGGCTGCTCCTTCTAAAGTCTACTAGATTCTTCTCTTCTTAGCAGTACTGCTGACTGAGGTTCGGGTCTTAATCCCTGTCTATGCTCAGTCCCATGTGCTCTCATTTATTCCCTTGACATTACAGCCTGTCTGCAGAAATGGCTCTTGACTTCTGCTGGGCATCTTTCTCAGATACCTAGAGCATCTCAGATGGAACATACCTCAGTTTTCCCCAGGATTCCTACTTGGAAATAGCACCTTTATTCATCTGTCATATATGCTCCAAACTGCATTTATGTGAATGCCTAATTCTTTCCTTCCACTCTTTGTGTCCATGAGAAATCCCTCAAGGGTCAATCCTTAAATGCATTTCATCATGTCTATATTAACACTCTATCCTTTCCCACACTGCCTTACTTCCCTCTCTGATTAACTGGTAGCTGTGGCGATGGTATCTGGAGTGGCCTTCATGTGTCTGGCGGTTGGTTGAAGCATTTTAGAGAACTTCTGAGCCTAGTCACTTTCACTACAGATGCCAGGTACCCAAGCTGTCTGTACTCAGAACTGTAGTGGGAGGCGTGGTTGCCTGGGATGGGACTGCAATGTGAAGGAAAGTATAGTATATCGCTTGGGGAGTCTGGCCACAGAAGGGGTCTCAAGTCCAGGGCGGATGTTTTGAGCAGAGTCATATGGGAGAGACACAGACAGAAAGTGCTTTTCTTTGCACATACTTGAAGTAAAAGGGGGGAAAAAATTTGAACTTTTAATTTATGATTTGCTAATGTGATGAACTGAAATGAATCTTTTGTATTTCTTAGTACTGCTGGCGGTGGACAGGTTTTAATTTCGGCTTTGACCTCCTTGTGACTTACACCAATCGGTACATCATTTTCAAACGCAATACACTGAATCAGCCATGTAGTGGATCTGTCAGCTTACAGCCTCGAAGGAGCATAGCATTTAGGTAGGATGGCACCCCCACTTCCTACACCAGTGAAAGGATAAGAAATGAGATGAAACCTTGATCACCAGTGTAGGACTTGGGTAAGACGCAGTATATGGGGAAGTACCAGGAGCTGAGAAAATGCCATTTCTTTGAATATATCTCCGTAAACAAGAAGAGAAGGTCTTGAGTGTCAGGATAAGCAGCTAGAGTAGGAATGAAGGACAACTTGATTCCAAGTGTGAAACTGTCACCATGTTACATTCCTAGCAAATAAAATATGCACACTAGAGTAAGACAGGCGTTCTTAGAAAGCACCTGCAGGACATGCTGTGTCCAGCCCTACCTGAAAGCTAAGCTGGCATTCACTTCCTGGAACTGGTGCTGTGGACTGACAGGGATAAGTAGCTGAGTGATGCTATTTGCAAAATCAACTCCATCAGGATTGCTGGCCTTTTGTTGGACTTCCCCTTTGAATGATGACTCGTGTTCTGCGGTGTGTGCATCACCACCCATGTTTATCCAGTTATCTTTCAAGCCTCACACAGGTTGCTTCTACCCTCCAGCAATCCTGATTCCACTCATGCCTAGAATAGAAAAGTTGGTGGGGATAGAAAGTAAGCTGGGGGAAGAGATTTGAAAAGTGGGGATGGTGTCAGCTGGGGAAGGTGGAAATGCTCTGAGGACAGATGTGGTGATGCCATTGCAAAGAAACTAAATAGTAAGCTTCATGTGTGTGTGTGTCTCACCATGGTGATGACAGGTCACTTCAGAGTTGTTTTTATACAATAATTAGAATAACACAAATTAGAAATCTGAATAGAGTTAATTTTAAAATCCTTTATAAAGGACTCACTCCTGTAATCCCATCACCTAGGAGGTAGAGGCAGGAAGATCATGGTTCAAGGCCAATCTGAGCTCCATAATGAGACCTGTTCCTAAAAACCAAGGGTTGGAGCTGTAGCTGTGGTACCATTTGCCTAGCATATCCAAGGCGCTGGGCTGGGCTCAGTCCACAGCACTGCCAGAAATAAGGCTTCCAGAGATATAGAGGGAAAAAGTAGAATGGGGAAGACCTTGTTTATATTAGTCTTCATGTTAAAATTGTATTTTTTTTTTAAATTTTAGATTGCGATTGGCTTCTTTTGACAGTAGTGGAAAACTCATATGCAGTAGAGCAACTGGCTACCAAATACTGACGCTTGAAAAAGACCAGGTATGTGTGTTTGTGTGCATGTGTGCTTGCGTGCGTGTGTGCTTGTGTGCATGTGTGCTTGTGTGCGTGTATGCTTGTGTGCGTGTGTGCTTGCGTGCGTGTGTGCTTGTGTGCATGTGTGTTTATGTGTGTGCGTGTGTGCTTGTGTGCGTGTGTGCTTGCCACTTGACTGCATCGTATGTGTGTTTGGAGTCTTTAAAGCTCTTAAGTAAAACTGACATTAAAATGACAATATTTTGATGTGAAAATTAGTTGAATTTTTGTTACAAAGTAAAGGTGAAAATATCCTGGTCACTTCTGCAGAGCTCGATTGATTCCAGCACTGTAGATCTGGTGTCCTGGATCCAAAACCATGAAACCCAAAATGCTGTATTAAAATCTAAAGTGTTCTGAGCACCATAGGGAGCAGTCCATCATGAAACAATATTTTCAATAAATGGTACATACAGTTACTTTGAGTCTCTTTGTGTGAATGTATGTATGAAACACAAATGAATCTGTGTGTAGACTTAAGATGTTCTGAAATCTGGAAAAATACAAAGGCTAGCAGTCTGGTCTCAAGACTTTCAGATGAGAGCTACTCTACCTTTTGAAACAAAAAGATCCTCTCGCCAGGTGGTGGTAGCGCACACCTTTAGTCCCAGCACTCAGGAGACAGAGGCAGGTGGATCACTGTGAGTTCAAGGCCAGGCTAGTCTATAGAGCGAATGCCAGGACAGCCAGAGCTGTTACACAGAGAAACCCTATCTCCAAAACCAAAACCAAAACCAAACAAAAGATCATCTGAGGGGAAGGAAGGAGTTGGTGGTAAGGAAATAATTCCTGTGAATATCATCTTCACAAAGCTGTGCAGTGCTTCTTCTATCCTGTACCCGGGAGCGCTTATTCACACTCTCACAGCAGATGTCCTGAAAATGCCTGACAACCCTCTATTGCTCCTGAGTGGAAGAGGATAGACCTCCATAACAGTCTCCATATCATCTCTGAAGTCATTGGTCATGTCATGCATCCACATGCGTGCATAAACTTGGAAATGTTAGGATGAGAAAGTAAACCGTTTTCAGAAACAAAAATGAGAGTGCCAAATGGTGAGGAAGTGTGTTTCTTTGAAAAGCCTACCACAGTGGTAGGAAGTCCTTTGCTGAGCCCTTATTTCCTCAGATGGGAGAGCCGGCACTGAGGAGACTCAGTAATTGTGCCCCCGAGGGCCTTAGGGAACCTCCCACCACACTTCCACTCTTGCTGCCCACGCGAAGGGCGGGCACGGCTCATGGCAGAGGGCTGGCTTATGTGAGAGAGGCCCTGAGCACTGTTGCAGATCCACAGAAGAAGAAAGAGACGCAGGCATGGCAAGTAGTATGTGGGAATGTCCTTTCCTTTCTTTCTTTTTTTAGACAGAGCTTCTCTGTGTAGCTTTGGCGCCTTTCCTGGAACTCATTCTGTGACCCAGGCTGGCCTTGAGCTCACAGAGATCCACCTGCCTCTGCCTCCTGAGTGCTGGGATTAAAGGCGTGTGCCACCACCACCCGGCCGGAAATGTCCTTTTCGACAGATATGGAATGAGGTCCTTCAAATCCCTGTCTTCCTACACTGAAATTTCCTGTGACTAAATGAGCAATGTCTGTCCTTACCTTCTATCTGGAACTTCATAACAAATAGCCACACCTCAAAGCATCCAGAAAGCTAAAAGGCTCCAGGCCAAGTTAACTCTACATACCCACTTTATTTGCTTAGTGCTGTTGTGCCTACTGCATGCTGAGTTCTGTTCCTGTGGGGAGGAAATCCACATGAGCCTGTGTTGGGTTAGCCTAGTAAGAAGCACTGTGGCATGATCCCAGAGCGCTGTGTGATGTAGAGGGAGAAGCCCTGACCCCTGTCGCATTGCTGATGGTAGCTGTGATGGCTGACAGTGGAGAAGGAGAAGCCCTGACCCCTGTCGCATTGCTGATGGTAGCTGTGATGGCTGACAGTGGAGAAGGAGAAGCCCTAACCCGTGCTTCAGGGTTGAGGATGAGTGTGAGGACAGCTCAGGGAACACTTGGGCTGAAAAAGTGAGCCTAAGAAGCCTCAGGTGCGTGAGACGGGGGCAAGAGAGCGGCTGGTCACTTCAGAACTGAAGGAGGTGGAGCGAGTTCAGTACAGATAGAGCTGGTGTGATGGACTGCAGGGGATGGCTGAAGGCTTTTGGTTGGTCACTTATGTGTATGTGTTTTCCATGTGTTACAGGTATTAGGCTGGAAAAAAAACAGAAAATACCATAATTTAGATTATTCATCTTTACTGGGTAAAAGTTGTCTCTTAATGTTTTTATTTTAAGAAATACACATACCCACATATATTTTTCTATTATTTATTTGTGTGTTTCTGTGTTTTAGCCTAGACTGGCTCTAACTGGTCATTCTGCCTCCACTATCTGATCACTGGTGTTGCAAGTGTGTACCACTACTCCTGGCAGCACATGCCTTTGCTAATGGCCAGATTGCAGCCCTCTGAGCAGCAGAGGAGAGTACATCCAGTAGAGTATTGCATTCATTCTAATCTTTTACTTGATGTGGAAAGTGAATTTGGGGCCTGGAGAGGTGACTCAGTGGTTAAGAGCTCCTGCTCTCTAGCAGAGGACATGGGTCTGATTCCCAGCTCCCACACTTGGCAGCTCACAACTGTCTGTAACTCTAGTTCCAGAGATCAGATGTCCTATTCTGACTCTGAGGGCACTGCATACACACGCATGTACTCAGGCACACACAAACATGGGAAATAAATAAATCTTTACAAAAAAAAAAAAGTACAAATTGTGTTAGCTTTAAATTTCGCTTGTTGGATTGCTGGTCTAATTGGGTTTTTGTTTCTGTTTGACTCCCCGTGTAAACTGATGACTTACATTGTTTGAGCAATGTTTGTCACATGTTGCCAGTCTCCAAATCTTCAAGGTGATCAGCTTCTTTTTCCCTCAGTGATTTCTTCTTTTGGAGTGATTCTTATTCTTATTAGGACTGTGTAATTGTCATCAGTACTTTTTTCTGTTCCTTTATGACTTTTTACATTAGATAATGTTTCTTTATCAGAGGGCATGCACTTGGTTTCATTTTAAAACTGTTTGTATCAGTGTCTCTCTAAGCCCTGGCCATCCAGGAGTTCACTGTATGGGACATGATGGAAGACTGATCTGTCAGATAGGAGCTAAATAAATGAAGAAAGAACCTGGGGAGACATTCAGGAGCAAGGATGGGGAGTGAAGGCCATGAGTGAAAGCATACAGGATAGGTGCTCAGAAAGGAGGAATCAGAGCTGTTTCTCTCCTCAAGTCTCCAGTGGAGGTTAGATGGGCTCCCGGTCTAAACACAGGGGTGAGGTGGTGGCACATTGCACACAGCAGTGTGGGTTCTTTGTCTGGAAGCAGGCCCTGGTGTGCAAAGAACCTGGGTGTGTGCTGCTGCCATGCAAGGCCTCCACAGCCTCACAGCCAGAGTGGACCCAGCAGAGAGCACTTCACCATGCAGGTGTTTCGGTGGAGGTGTACGGAGTAGAGTTTAAAGGTTTGAGGATGCCGGAAGCCATCTAGTGTGTTAGGGATTGGAGAGAGGGATTAATGTAGTTTACTCCAAGACTGATGTGTCCATTGGGCCTGAGACAGTGACATTGGCTTCCTCTTTTCCCTGAAGTTAGCCCTTCAACCTACCTGAGGCCAGTTTTAACTGCACTCAGACCCCTGACATTGGTTGTTTGTTTGGATTTTGTCAGTGCACAATCCGATTTTTTTCTTTATCATCAGTGTGCATGGCTTCAAAGATTATCATCAAGTTTAGTAAATGTGATGTGAAGGTTTAGTAAAGCTGTACTTGGGTCGAAGGGACAGGACAAGTTTTGCCCAAGGCAGAGTGGCTCAGATGTGTGCTGACATTCCTTTTGCCCGTCTGCCAATATAACAGTGTCCTGATTTTACTCCCTGAGATTTTCCTGAATACCACCTTCCCTTCTGGGAGGAGTACAGAGAAATTGTGGGCTATATTTGAATAAAATTTCTATACATTTACCTAAATTTATGTTCTTAAACTCCCCCCCCCCCATACTATTATCGGTGCTAGCACACCTTTAATCCCAGCACTCGGGAAGCAGAGGCAGGTGGATCTCTGTGAGTTGGAGGCCAGCCTGGTCTACAGAGTGAGTTCCAGGACAGCCAGAGCTACACAGTCAAACCCTGTCTCAATCAACAACAACAGCAGCAAAAAGAGCTCTTTAAGCCTACTTTGGTCACTCACATAGTTGATCTGCATAGGAATTGGGCTTCAGACTCTATTTAAACAGTGCTTTTAGTAGTCCCTGAAATGTATAGAATAACGTGACTGATGCCTGCAGCCTGTGGGATGTCCCTTGGGGTTAGATGTGGACGGTCATTTCAGTGCTGCTTCTTTAAGGGTTTACTCTGCTCTCTGGTTCTGGGACAGACCTGTGAAGTCCAGAGAGATCCAAGGCATCAGTGGTTCCCTTGTGGCTCTCACCACCAGTCTTTGGGAGGTTTCATGTGCATAGATGTAGCTGAACTCAAAATGCTTTTACATGATAATACTATGTGCTGTGTTCTAGGCATGGTGGGGTATTTAGATAAGGGCAGGGCTGTACTTGGTGACGACAGCATCGACTCCTTGCTTCAGTCTAGTGGTCTGTGTAGTGTCTTAAAAACTGAAACCAAGTGAGCAGTTCACTGTGCATAGGGGCTTGTGTGTTGGTTACTTCAGGTGATGGGGATTGAAACTGCCTGTGCATGCTGGACTCAAAGTAGTGATGAGCTCAGATAGCACTATGCATGTGCTCTGCCTCTGAGCTGTGAGCCCAGCCTCTGTTTACTCTATGCTCATAAAATACGCAGGAACTTGATAGAGAATCTTATAAAACTGAAAATAGCTGCCCTGTTGAGTAGCTGGCTCTGTCTGTCCGCTTTAGTCCTCAGTACCATCCTATGAGCCAGGAGCTAAACAGTGAGGGAGCCAAACAGTGAGGGAGCCAAACAGTGAGGGAATGTGGGTAACAAGCTCATACACACATCTAATGGGCGGAGTCTACAATTAGAGCTGTGGTGAGTGCTTCATCCCATGCTGCTGCTTTAGTTCATTTCATTCATTCAACAGCTTGACTTAGAAATGTTACAAAACGTTGCTGTCTACTTGTCATTAAACCTACCAATCTGTCTTGTAGGAACAAGTGGTGATGAACTTGGACAGCAGGCTTCTGGTCTTCCCTTTGTATATCTGCTGTAACTTCTTGTATATATCACCAGAAAAAAGAACTGAAAGTAATCGTCACCCAGAAAACCCAGGAAACTGAGGCACTCGTCGGTGGGAAGAGGAGCACTTTGAAAACTGTAGGGGCCAGCTTTAACTTACCGGCCTACTGCATTCACATCTAAGGTGACTAACAGTGATGGGCCTTATGAACTCTATGGATGTTGCAGGAGATGTCCTCATCCTCATTACATTTCTATGCACATATGAAAAAGTATTTTAAAACTAAGAAAGTATCTGTCAAACCATGTATGTTAAAAGGATATCAACTCTCGCTTTAATTTAGTAGCAGTAGAAAATTACTATAGGTAAATTTCTCATTTCCTTGCAGCAAAATACAGATTTAATTTTGAGCTTGAATTTTGACCCTACCTAGTGTTAGTGAACTTGACTTTTTCATCTGTAAATGTGTTCCTGTTTTGTTCAGAGAATGCTAAGGGCAGAGTTAGGATGACCAATTGTAACTGCTCCTTAAGTGGGGGCCTTTAAAGCTGTCCTTTAGTTCTCAGTCGCTCGTTGAGTCTTCGGTTCAGTCTGATGCCTTCCTTCAGTCTCCGCTGCTTTTTCCCATCAGAGCCTTTTCATGGTTTGGGGGACTAGGCTTAGGAACTATTTCTGTTTCGGTTTGATTTGCTTTTGTTTTTGTTTTTTAATCTAAATTTAAGCATTTTTCATATTTTTTGAGACTTTAACTTTCCTACAATTTTAAATGACAACAACAGCAATCAGCTTTAGGACTTGAATAAACTTGAATAAGGGAAACTGGTTTGACCCTGAGGATATTCCTTCGCCTTATGTGCGTGGTCTTGTCTGGCATTCTGTGTTCTTGTTATGAATTATTTATATACAATGCTACATTTTCAAACATTTCGTGTTCTACTGGAATTTATGTTCAAATTTTAGTTGGGAATCTTGTTTCCTACTTGAGCTCAGGACTTTATAACCTCTGAACTGAGTGCCTTTGAGTCACATACGCAAACAGATTTCACGGGGAAAGTACAGGAGGAGCTGGAACAAAACATTCGTGTTAGAACAACTTATTTTTGTCAAGAAAGAGATGTATGGGTGTCATGATTGCTATGTTGGCTCCTTGTGTTTATGGCTATTTTGAAAATAGCCACTCCCATTTTCCTCCAGTCAGAGGAAGTGCTTTTATGGTTGATGTATGTTTTTAGTATTTTTTTAAAATTGGAATCATTTTTATGTATCTGTTCAAATAAAATGCTCATTTGGAAAAGGAATACGCTCCTGTTTAAAGTGGACTCAAAACCTCACCTGAAACTAGGATTTTCTTTTTTTCTTGAAGTTCAATTTTTTTCCAAGTACTTGGTTCTTTGTATTTCTTTTGTTTTAAAGCAGAATTCTATTAGAGAGTAAGAGAAAAACCAACTGGACTGGAAGACTAAATCTCAGAGGCTTCTGGGAAAAGGAGCTAGGGAAGCCTTGCTCTGAGGCCAGCTCAGCTGTGGGGTCTGTAGAGAGGACACCTGGGTCGGTCGGTGGAGCTAGCAGCTTTAGATTTGGCTGCTTGGTTTTTATTTACTTATTTTTATTTATTTGTTTTTGTTCTGTTTTGTTTTTCAAGACAGGTTTTCTCTGTGTAGTCCTGGCTGTCCTGAAACTTGCTCTGTAGACCAGGCTGGCCTCGAACTCACAGAAATCTATCTGCCTGCCTCTGCCTCCCCGAGCGCTGCGATTAAAGGTGTGCACCACCACTGCCATGCCTTGACTATTTTTAAACAAACAAACACAGAACAAAAACCATAGAAAACAAAAAGGCTGAGTTCTCACACAGACAGCAGACAGAGCTCCGAAGATCACAGGTGCTTGTTCCCACCTGCTTCTAGCTTTGAATTACTGGTGGGTTTTCTTTCCTGGTAATATGTTGATAGAGTCACAAATTATCCTTGGTTTTTTGTTTTTTTTCCAAAATGTAACTACTTTGAATGTCTTCTTCTGCCTCCTAGAATTGCAACAGGAATATTTCTGAAGCAGTGGTTTGGCCAGTGACAGGCCCCACTTCTGAACTGTACACCTGGCTGTAATTTCCTCTCCCACTGCTAAGTTGTTTTCTCTCAGCAGCATAAGAAATCCTTTACTCTTTATATATTAAAAAATAGTCAGGCGGTGATGGCGCACGCCTCTAATCCCAGCACTCTGGAGGCAGAGGCAGGCTGAGCTCTGTGAGTTCAAGGCCAGCCTGGTCTACAGAGTAAGTTCCTGGGCTACACAGAGAAACCCTGTCTCAAAAAACAAAGCCAACAGAGCCGTACACTTGTAATGCCAGCACACAAGAGGCTGAGGCAGGAGAATCACAAGATTGTGGACAGCCTGGGCTGCATTGCAAAACCCTGCTTTAAAACAAAAAACAATTATACCCAAATATGTCTTTATAAATCTTGGAAAGTGAAGTGGGAATATATCAACAAGGAAGATAACCTACTTCCTTTCCATGGTCAGGTTGTCAGCTTACCAAGTGTGAGTAGTTTCAGGTGACGATTGGAGACCATGTGTGGGGGCTTTGTACTTGCCAGCTCTTGCTATATAGTCTCTGCCAAGTTCTGTTTGTGTGTTTTGTTTTCTATTGGCTGTTAGGACTAGAAAACTAGTCACCTATTAATAATTTATTTGGTTATTTTAGTCACCTATTAATAATTTCTTTGGCTATCTAATCAGTAAAGAAGAGAATTATTGTAGTTTCTGAATTATTACAGAGGCATATGGACACACACACTTCCTGTCTTTTCTGTGGATCTGGCTTAAGCCTTAGCAAGATGCATAAACGTAAGTGAAAACCACAGTAGTCACCAACTTTTGGGGTTAGATTTTCTTAAGACAGGCTCTATGTAGTCCAGGCTGGCCTCAAACTCAAGATCTTTCTTCCTTGGCTTCTCCAGTGTCCCTACCTCCCAAGTGCTGAGGTTACAGGCTCACCCTACCCTGCTCAGTACTCACTGGAAATTTATTTCCCTATGCAATAATGTTGATAAGTGCAATGTGTAAAAGCAACTAAGCCCTTCGTGAGCCAATGTGGTTGTGTCTAGAATGGCGTCCTACCTTCTCCTTTGTTGCTCTCACACCACACGATGATTCTAGCACCATGGAATCCACTGCCTCCAGAACTACAAGAGAGAAATTGCTTTTCATTGTAAGTTCCCCGGTCTCTGGTATTATATTCAACACACTGAGACACTCACCTAGATAAATGTCCTTACCTCCAATGCAGTTTTCTTTTTCAATCAACCCTGTATTAGCCCAAAGTGTTCTCTGAAGAAACCCAAATCTACTACTCTCCCATCCCTAAAACTCTGCAGAGGCTCCACATGTGCCCTCAGGTAACCCGCGTCTCACATCCCTCATTTCTCCCTCACCTCCTGCCCTTACCTTGCAGTGTGCAGAGACCTCTCCCCCAGCACACAATTCCCTCTTGTCTTCTGGCTGTTTTCCACTTACATCATTTCCTTCCAGAAGCTCTTCTGCACGATCTTTCCCCTCAACACTAGGCAGGTGCTCGCCATTTGTACCTTCCTGCTGTCATGTTCCACGTGACTAAACTTTTGTAGCACTTCCTTATCTGTATCCCTCATACCTACAAGCCCCTCAAACTCATGTGCCTTTTTTCACTGTTCAGTCCTTTGATATATAAGTATGCAATAAATGTGAATAGTGTGACTGATAATCGTGACATTTTATTTTCTGGTGTTTCCACAACTAGTGCATTGCTAAGGCCAGACTCCTTATAATTGAGTCCTAGAGCATCAATGGACTCCCTTTCACATGTACATTTACACACAGACCAGCCAGTCCTAAACCCACTTCCCCAACACTTCTTTTAATTTTTTTGTTTGTTTGTTTTTGTTTTTCAAGACAGGGTTTCTCTGTGTAGCTTTGCACCTTTCCTGGAACTCACTTTGGAGACCAGGCTGGCCTCGAACTCACAGAGATCCGCCTGCCTCTGCCTCCTGAGTGCTGGGATTAAAGGCGTGCGCCACCACCGCCCGGCCTTCTTTTAATTTTTTAAAGGTTGATTTATGTGTATGAATGTTTTCCCTGTATGTGCACCAGGTGTGTGCCTGATGTTAGGCATTGATCTCCTGGAACTGGAGTCATGGATGATTGTGAACCACCCATATGGGTGACGGGGAACTGAACCAGGTCCTCTAAAAGAGCACCAAGTGCTCTTAACCACTGAGCCATCACTCCAGCCCTTTAAACCAGCTGTCAAGATAGGCCAGTGTCTCCTGCTGTAATCATCCGTGAGCCAGGTACCAAATCATCTCTCCTAAGGCCTTCTGGGAAGGTTCAAAAACTAGCTGTTTATTGCATAACTTCAGGGCAACATAATGGTTAGTGTTGATTGTTACCTTGATGGGGTTTAGAATCATCATGGAGACAAATCTGAGCATATCTCGTTGTGAGGGATTATATCTATATGAGGTTGAGGTGTGTGGGATGACCTATCCTAAATATAGGCAGTACTATTCTTTGAGTAAGGGTCTTGGAGTGCACAAAAAAGGAGAAATGCTGAACATAAGCATCCATCAAGCTCTGCTTCCTGACTACAGATGTGGCCTGTAACCAGCCACCTCCAGATCCTGTTGCTATTTGTTACCTGCCATGATGAACTCTTCTGTGAGCCAGGACAAACCCTTCTTCAAGTTGCTTTTGCTAGGCATTTTGTCACAGCAGCAACAACAAAAAATAACTAATAGAGACATGAGCTGAGCAAACATCAGTTCAGCCCAGATACGGCACTGATGACGACAGACCAAAGATTCTACCTGAGTCTAACTTGGTGAACCCTTGTTGTGGGATATTTATACACTGTGTGAAGGTGTGTTGCTGGGACTGATGTAATAAAAATCGGAAAGGCCAATAGCCAGGCAGGAGGTATAGGCGGGACTTCCCGGGAAAGAAAGGAGGAGGGGGGGGGGGAGGGGAGGGGGAGGAGGAGGGGAGGAGGAGGAATCTAGGCACGCAGGAGACCCAGGGAGGAAACTTGAGGTGCAAGATGGAGGAGGTAACACCATGTGACAGAACATAGATTAATATAAATGGGTTGGCTTATGTTTAAGAGCTAGTTAGGAACAAGCCTAAGCTATAGGCCGAGCTTTCATAATTAAGCAGAAGTCTCCATGTCATTTTTTAGGAGCTGACTGGTAGGACAGAAAAAGACTCATTACAAACCCCAGTGGGTTTACTGGGGATAATTACAGGAACATGACAGCTCATGAAAGCTCTACATCCCTGGAGTTCCCAGCACTCAGGAGACTAAGGAAGATTGCCTCTAGTTCAAAGACAACCTGAGCTATGTACTAAATTCCAAGTCAGCCCAGGTTACAGAGTGAGGACAGAATATACCCAGTAAGAAAAATTGTAACACTGAAATTCAACATCATAGCTGATGATGAGATTGGATCTGCTTTCCTGGCATAGCCAAAACTGCAACCCAACAGGGAGCCAGACCATACAAACAGCAAGCTGTGTATCACGGGGCAGCAGCCAGGACTCAGAGTCCTCACTAGACACGCAGCCTTAGAGCCTTACCTTGGACTTCCCATCCTACGAAGTTGTAAGGAACAAATTTCTGTTATAAGCTTCCTTTCCACAGCTGGACAGACTAAGGAAATTCCAAAGATGGCCTCCGTTACCACCTAAAAGGTACCATACCTTTTGCATTCTGTGTTTAAATCTATGCTATTCTGAGTGTGCAGTGGGCAAGATTTGGGTCAAGATTTGCCAAATCTTTTGGTGAATTTTGTCAAATGCTTTTTCTACATTTTAAATATGGTTGTGCTCTTTCTTTACACTGCTATTCAGATTTTTGTTGGGGTTTTTTTAGATGGAAAAAGATAAATGCAGGCAGCTCACCAGTGTCCTATCCTGCTCAGTTATTTTTCAGGGTTCCTTGCTGTGCTAATGGATTTGGTTTCCTGACCCTTGTGTAGTAAATTACCATGGACATGTTGGCCTCAAACCGCAGAAGTGTGTTCTCTCCACAGTTGCAGAGGCCAGAAGTCCAGTCCCTGATTCAGTGCCTGAGGCCAGGTGTCAGCAGAGCTGTGCTCCCTCTGCAGCTTCCCACGAAGGGTCCATCATCCGCCTCGTGCAGCCCCTGTTGCTGTCATTCTGATGTCATCCCCTGCCTCTGGAGTCTCAGGACCTGCTCCCCATATCACCCTTCCTCTGCCTTTCTGTAGATCTTCAAGAAGGCACTTAAGGGCCCTCCTGGGTCATGGAGGGCAGCCTCCTCATCTGAACATCCTTACACATAGGCAACATCCACGGGCTCTGAAGATGAAGACCAGCTTCTTTGCTGGTCTGTGTACTGACGAAGGCATTCTCTTTCCTTCTCAGAACTCTATCCTGTGGATTCTGATACACTGTGCTCCAGTGGTATTTTCAAACTTGACAACCATAATTTGGCTTCCTTGCTGGCTGTTCCTCTTCTGTTTAAGTCCACAGGCCCTTGGGGCTGGCCTTGGTCTCAGGACACTCTCCTGGACTCCTGTGATTCATAAATTCCCTCATCTCTGTCTTTATTTTTTACCTCTTCCCCAGATCTTGGGTTCTGGTATGTAGACCAGGCTGGCTTGGAACTCACAAAGCCCCACTTGTTCCCGACTCTGGAGTGCTGGGATGGGAAGCCTTTGCCACCATTCCTGGCTTGTGTTCATCATACTGAATAGTTTAACTAACAAAATAGAATTCGGGTTTTCCTACAAGCTAAAGTATAATCAAGTTCTCAGACTGGAGTACACAGAGCTCCACTGAATTGATAAAGTGGCACTTAAGGGCAGGAGAGTGTCCCCCATGTTACTCCTTGGCACAGGAGCCCTCAAATAATAAAGGAAGTACTCTTTCATTGCCTTCTCTGTGTCTTCCACATGGACATCATCATGTTATGAATGTTACAAACAGACCAACCCTTACTTTCTCAGTAAGCATTGTCAAAAGGCAACTGGTGAGGCGGCCAAGCAGGTAAAGGTGCTTGGCACCATGCCTCTATACACATGTGTGCGTGTGTGTATCTGTGAGAAAACCTTGTATTCATCATGCCTAGCACATAGCACAGTGGGTAATCCTAACTCTCAGGAATATTATTTCCAGAAACTCTCCTGGAATATCAAATTAAGCTGAATGGCCTTTTTCCTTTCATAACACACTAGACAATATCTTCACCACATTATGAAAACGTCCCATCATCTACTTTGATAATTAAGATTGCAAGCCTCTTGAGGCAGAGACCATGTTGTTCATCTTTTCACCCTAATGCTGAAGTAGTAGTGTCCATCATTCAGCAGGCATTCCAAAAATGTTTATTAAACCAGTTTCCATCATACTTCCCAACCGTTTTTTGAAAGGCTGAAGAGATTTCGTGAAGTGTTTTTGAGGGGCTCTAGCAGGCCCAAGCATGGTAAACATGGTGCCAACAAGTTTCGCCTTTTATCCTCCTCTTCCTTGCTAAACACCATTAGATTGCATTCCTAAACCTAGTCCCCAAGGTCCGTTCCCTTATTTGTCCACTGACTCATTCCTGAGACAAAACACCAAGATCCAACAATCAAAATTCATTATTTGGCTAATATGTCCAGTCAGGATTTACCAACTCACCCTAGCAGAGAGTCTCCTTTTTCTCCTTAAAAACCCACCCCTGCAGAAATACCTGCTCGTTTCCTTGCTGCTGCTGCCTTGCCCCTCCCCCTCAAGGTAATAAATCTCCTTTGTGCTAAGAATTTGATGTCCTGTATGGATGGGGGTGGGGTGTATGTCTGATCACCCCTAATCACCATGTTGCTTTTCTCTTAAACCTCTAATGCACAGTCTTTGGCGTCGTCTAATACCCCTATCTTCCTTATGGACAGTGACTTCAACTGTTAGTAGTGTTTATCTAATAATATCCCGAAATCTTCCTTCTCAAAGACTGAGACTCCTGTTCCTTTGAACCCTCTCTTCCATACCTTGACACACATTATGCCATAATCTCAAAACTATGGGAATCAGGCCTCATGGTGAAAATTCTAGTTTAGTTGGGAACAGGTATTAAAGAGGCTACATCAAAATGTATATATTAATTTTTTTTTTTTACATGATGACTAGTGGGCCAAGTGTTTGCAAACTAAATCTAGCCTATCCCCAGCTTTTTGTTCTAAAAGCTGGGCCTCAGCCTTTGACCCTCGCAAGACTAGCAAAAAGCACTGCTTCTGGCAGCAGAGGCTCCAGCCTTTTCCATTTAGAACATTCAAGTTTTACTGCAGAAAGCTTCATCTTTTGAGTGCAAGGGAGCCTTTTTCCTTATTTTTCTGCATTATAAAGCCTTTCATTTTGAAGGTTATGGCAGTTTCTGGAGGGTTCTTTGAGGGAATAGAACAGGATATTAGAGCCTTTTACTTAGAAAAGATCATAGCTGGGGCTGAAAAGATGGCAGAGTGCAGGGCAGTAAGAGCATTTGCTGCTCATTTTCTCAGCACCTGCTGTCAGGAGGCTCTTAAGGCCAGCTCCTAAGGATACAAGCCCTCTTCTAGCCTCTGGTGACACCCTCGTATGTATAAAAAATAAAACTTCCTAAAACCACCATAGTAGTTTAGGGCACAGTCCCAATGTTGTCATCTGAGAAAACATAAAGCTGACTGCGTCCTTTGGTTATTCGTTTCTTACGACATTTACGAGCAAAAGTGAAAAAGGAAGGAAGAAAGGAAGGGAGGGAGGGAAGGAAAGAAGGAAGAGGGGGAGGAAGGAAGGAAGGAAGGAAGGAAAGAAGGAAGGAAAGGAGAGGAAGGAAGAAGAAAGAAAGAAAAGAAATGTTGTGTACGCCTTTAATCCCAAGACAGGCCTGGTATTCATAGCAAGTTCCAGGACAACGAGGGCGACATAATGAAACTTGTCTCAAAAAACCACAACAAAAAAGAACTAGTGTGATGTATCTTATACGTATGGAGAAACGGGAGAGAATGGCGCAGGGTGGAGGGGTACACAGCTAGGTGAGTTCTCTAGGAGGACAAAAGGGGAAATAGCGAACAACAACAAACGAACTTGAAGAAACGGAAGCGACTGTCAGTTCCTCGTGGAACTCCAGGCCCTGGAGTTGCATCCGGGGCAGGATTTGGCGCCATCCGCTTGTTGGAGCACCCGGAACCCTCGCAGCGCGTCCTTGAAGGTTTCCAGTCGGTGAGCAGAAGCAACTTCCGGCTGTTCCGGAAGTTGTGGGATCGTTTCCGGGGCGGCCAGAGGAGTGGAGCTCCGATGGGTCGTAGCCGTAGCCGCTCCCCGCGGAGGGGTGAGTTCAGAAGGTCGTGCGGCTCGGGACGCTGACAGGCACTCCCTGCGTCCTCAGCCCGGAGGGACGGAGAGGGTGCGGGACGGGGCGAGGCCGGGGCCTGCGCTGCTCAGCCCGGCCCTCAGTTAGAGTTCAACTCCTTCGCTTAGCTTCTGGGTGACCGTGCGTACATCAACCCACCTTTCTTTTAGTTCTGTTCCCGTAATCATCGTGGGTAACTTTACATCGAAAAGTTGATGTGGGAATTAACCTCACACTCGATAACATTCATCATGTGATTGCCCTGGCTCACAAATGCTTATAAATGTTAGTGCCTTGCCCAGGTCATTAGTCTGAAGTGTTTAGAATTTGATACTGGGTGGCCTAATGTCTTCTGTACCCAAGCCCCCGAGGGTACAGTACTGAGGCAGGGGTAAGGTGGGACTGTGGAAAACTCAGAGAGTTTTTGTGCCCTTAGCCATGTTAAGGGATTAGAATTAGAGTCTCTAGATGTTTAGAACAAGGCTCGTCTTCAGCTGGTAAATACTCTCGATTTTCTTACTAGACAGCCAGGACCTCAAGCAAATTGAGCCCTTAAAGTGCTGTAAATTTACAATAGTCAGTGGATTTCCTTTGGGGGGAAAATACTTATTTTGTAGCATTATCCTTTACTTTGACCAATTTACTAATTAGTACAAGAAATGCTAGATTGAACAAGTTGGCGGGGGGACCTATACCCTCATACACAGCCATATTTTCAAAAAGCACAAAACTTTGTGTTAAAAATATAATTTATCAAGTAATACAATTGAATACTAAGCTATTGTATAAACAGTAGAAATATGGGGTGATTTTAAATATACCACATTACCTGACTTTAAGTGAAATTATGTGTTGAAGTGTTAATAGTTTGGATATATTGAGTCAAAAAATGTTAATATGATTTTTGGGCTGTTTTTATTGTGTGTGTGGTGAAGAGAACAGAACCCAGTGCCTCTCACATGCAAGGCAAGTGTTCTGAGCAACACCCCTACCTTTCTTTTTCCACACAGGGCCTTACGTAGCAGAGGGTAGTCTTGAACGATGATCTTTCTGCCTCCACTTCCCCAGTCCTGGTGTTACAGGTGTGTGTTACTATGCCCAGGAATTACTTTTTGTTTGTCTGTTTACTTTTCATGACAGGGGTTCTCTGTTATATAGCTGTGGCTATTCTGAAACTCACACGAACTCACAGAGATCTGCCACCTGCCTCTTCCTCCAGAACACTGGGCCACCATGCCCGGCTGACTTTTTTTTTTTTTTTCTTTTTTTTTGGTTTTTCGAGACTGGGTTTCTCTGTGTAGTTTTGGTGGCTGTCCTGGATCTCACTCTGTAGACGAGGCTTGCCTCGAACTCACAGAGATACACCTGGCTCTGCCTCCGAGTGCTGGGATCAAAGGCGTGCGCGAATGCCGCCCGGCTTTTTTTTTTTTTTTTTTTTTAATCTTTCATTGTGACTACTAGAAGTGGCTTGCATTATACTTCAGTAGGACAGCTCTAGGTGTTTGAGATAACTTTTGTCTCTGCTATTTTTGTGTATGTATTAGAGCGTAGGCGGTCCCGGTCCACATCACGGGATCGAGAAAGAAGGCGACGAGAAAGGTCCAGGTCTCGGGAGAGGGATCGCAGAAGGAGCCGCTCAAGATCCCCACACCGAAGACGCTCCAGGTGAGTGTAGAGAAAAAACCAGAAGCTTGACTACAAAGCTGCAGAAAATAAAAAGCAGCCTGGGAGATGCCCTTAACTTTGCTTTTATCGCTTAGAAGGGTACTTCCAATTTCACGAAATGGCAGAGTTTAATCACACATTATTCTGAAGCTAGCAGTACTCCTGGCAAATGGTTTAATTATACTGCATAAGAAAGTAGTCTTTAAGAGATGTTTATCTTACTTTTACTTCCTATGTATGGATGGGTGTTTTGCCTTCATTGTATGTCTGTGTGTGATACATCTGATTCCCTGAAACAAGTTCCAGACAGTTGTGAGCTGTGTGCTGGAAGCCAATCCCCTCTGGAAGAGCAGCTAGGGTTCTTAACCACTGAGCCTTCTCTCCAGCCCAAGACAGTTGTCTTTGAAGAACAATGAGGACTAATGAGTGGAAACCACTTAGCATGGTGCTTGGTAGAGTAAGAAATTTAAGTGTGTAATCAAGAACAGGTGACCTTAGCAGGGCAGTAGAAACGGACTCCTCCGAAACATCAGCAGCTGTTTAGGAGGGCTTGTGTAATTGTTAGGAACTTAAATTTTGTTATTACATTTGAAGGGGGTGTGGAGTGGGCATGTGGACATCAGGACAATTGGGAAGTCACTTTCCACCTTCCACTACATGGGTCCTTGGAATGAACTCAGGTCGGCAAGCACTTTCATCTCCAAAACCATCTCACCAGTCCTATTACTATTACAAACTTTCTTAAAGATACTTTCAATTTGTGTGTGTGTGTGTGTGTGTGTGTGTGTGTGTGTGTTGTGTAAGAGAGAGTAAGGGAGCATATACACACACCTGCATGCGTTTTACGTGTGCCACATGCATGCCTGTAGGTGCCCATGGAAGCCAGAGGGTGCTGGATCCCAGGAACTGCAGGTGACTGGAACCAAACCTGGGTCCCCTGCAAAGCCAGTACTTGCTCTTAACCACTGATCCATCTCTGGCCTCCTCTTAGAATTTTGAGGGTAGGCCGGGCAGTGGTGACGCACGCCTTTAATCCCAGCACTCGGGAGGCAGAGCCAGGCGGATCTCTGTGAGTTCGAGGCCAACCTGGGCTACCAAGTGAGTTCCAGGAAAGGCGCAAAGCTACACAGAGAAACCCTGTCTCGAAAAACAAACAAAAAAAAAAAAAAAGAATTTTGAGGGTAGATTTTTCTGTCTCCCAAAACTTTTTAGACCTTAGTTGTACTGGTAACTGGTGAATAAAGTTTTTCTTTCAACCGTCAGAGCCTAATGGACTCTGGCCTCTGGTCTGGCTTTGTCCAGCCTTCACTTGTAAGGGGCTCATGGGTAACTGTGCAGATCAACAGAATTGCCTAGTATGTGTTTCTAACAACTTTTAAATGATAAATATTAGGTCTCCAAGGCGACATAGATCCACATCTCCTTCCCCTTCTCGACTGAAGGAACGAAGAGATGAAGAGAAGAAAGAACCTAAAGAAGGAAAGAGCAAAGAACGTCAGATCACTGGTAATATTACTAGATGAGCAGACTTGTTGAGATAATTTCAGTCATATTCAGAGTGTAAATTTGGCACACCTCTAATCCCAGCACTCAGAGGGCAGAGGCAGGTGGATCTCTTGAGTTTGAGGCCAGCCTGGTCTACAAAGTGAGATCCAGGACAGGCAAGGCTACACAGAGAAACCCTGTCTCAAAAAAACAAACAAAGTGTAATTTTGAGCATGTAAATATTAACCTTTTATAGGGTTCATTGTGTGTGATTTTGAGGTTTAATTTTAATTGTACATTAGTGAATTTCCAGTATGTGTTGGTTCTGATTTAGGAAAGGTATTTTTAAAAACATGAAAAAATTCTGTCTGGGGAATATCTTCCAAACTTGATGGTGTTGTATCTGATGTTAAAGGCTCTGTGGAAAGCACATGATGGATATTCTGGCATGTCAAAGTTAATAGGAATTTTTCTTGATAGGTTCACATTTTATTTAGTCTCTGCTGCTGAGGTGACATGTCTGCACATCTGTTGCTACTTTTTCATTTGTGCAGATGAACGTCTCTGTGCATCCACACATATAATAATAGGACTTCAAAAACTCATTTATTTTTGCAGAGGAAGATCTGGAGGGTAAGACAGAGGAAGAAATAGAAATGATGAAATTAATGGGATTTGCTTCTTTTGACTCCACAAAAGTAAGTAAAAGATGGAACCAGTTACATGTTCCGGGTTGTTTGTCCCTTACACCTGTCCTGCTTTTCCATATTCTTTGCTGTCACTAATAACTTCTTCTACAAGCACAACTTATCTTGTTGTAGACAGATTTTGAGGGGCTTTAAACATACACAAAGAAAGTGCTAAGCTACTTTATATTCTGGGACTCTCCAGTCCAAAGGATGTCGATTTTCAAAGGCAGGTAGTGGTAAGGCAGACAAGGAACAAATTTGAAGCAGAGTGCTGTTCAGTAAGTATGAGGATACAGGGTGCATGGTGGAGACTTCCCCTGTGTGCAGTGCAGTGTAGTGACCAGTCAATGCTAAGGACTACCTGGGGCTCTAGGGCAGACTCTTTTTTCCCTTTACCATGTTAAGGGATTCGTATCTGTAGATGTTTTAGAGCAAGGAAGAGTTTTGCTCTTTTTCAGAAGGGTTTCACTATGTAGCACAGGCTGGCCTTAAACTTGAAATCCTCCTGCCTTAGTCATATGAGTGCTAGGATTAAGAAGCAAGGATTTGGGGCTGGAGAGATGGCTCAGCAGTTAAGAGCACTGGCTGTCCTTCCAGAGGTCCTGAGTTCAATTCCCAGCAACCACATGGTGGCTCACAACCATCCGTAATATGATCTGGTGCCCTCTTCTGGCCTGCAAGCATTCATGTGGGCAGAACACTGTATACATAATAAATAAATAAATCTTTAGAAGAAGAAGAAGAAGAAAAGGAGGAGGAGGAGGAGGAAGAAGAAGAAGCAGAAGCAGCAGCAAGGATTTTAGTCCATAATCTTTTTTTTTTCTTTTCTTTTTTTTTGGGGGGTGGGGTGGGGGGGAGCTGAGGATCAAACCCAGGGCCTTGCACTTGCTAGGCAAGTGTTCTAAATCCCCAACCCTCCCCCCCTTTTTTTTTTCTTAAGAGAAGGTATCACTTAGCCCAGGCTGGCTTCAGACTTGTTATGTAGTTGAAGAAGACCTTGAACGTCTGATTCTCTTGCCTCTACATTGCAAGTGATGAGATTTATAGACAGGCACCACCATGCCCAGTTTATGTGTCTTTATCCATTCATCTGTTTTATATAATTTCACTAGTAGTGAGGAGGGGTTCCTTTTGCCCATATTCTTGACAGTATGGGTTGTTGATTATTTTATTTTTTAATCAATTTTTTTTTCTTTGAAATTTTATGAGTGTCCTGCTGTGGTGTGTACTTGCACTACATGCGTGCCTGGTGCCTGAAGATGCTAAAAGTGCATGCCAGGTCCCCTGGAACTGGAGCATAGGCTGTTGGAATTTTCTATGTGGGTGCTGGGAACCAAACCTGGGTGCTCTGGAAGAGCAGTAAGTGCTCTTAACTGCTGAACCACCTCTCCAGCCTCTGTCATTTGGTTTTTGATAATAGTTACTCTGACAAGGGTAAGATGAAGTAGTTTTAGTTTACATTTCCCTGATCATTAAAGATAAATGTTTATTGGCCATTGTGTTTTTTTCTTTTGGGAATTGTCTTCAGTTCATTAGCTCATTTATTGATTGACAAGGTTTTTTTTTCTTTCTTGTTTGGTGTTTAATTGTTGCAGTCCTGTGTATACTGTCGATGGGAATACTCTGTTCATGTGTAGCTGGCAAGGGTTCGTGTTTCTCTGCTCTGTTTGGCTGTCACTTCAGCCTGCTCATGGGTTCCTCCACCACAGAGCTTTCTAATAGCTGTCCCATCTGCCAGTGTCTTGGAATTGTTTCCTGTACTGCTAGAGTCCTTTTTGGACTGCTCTCGTGTAACTGGATCTTGAAACATTTTCCTCTCTACGCTTTTGTTCTTACAGTGGTTATGTGAACCCCATTTTGGAATTTAACACTATTAACATCTCAGTTTTTTGTCTTTGAATATATCAAATCCTCTTATTGTATTGGTTGGCATTGTTGATTGAGACAGTCATGACCCTCTTGCTCCAACCTCCCAATCACTAGAATTCCAGGTGTGCAGCACCACATCCAGCTCAAGTCCTCTTTCTTTAATTTGGAGTATTTTATAATATGTATTATTAATCACTATTAATATGAATCCAATAAGTAACAGTACTTACAGAGCAAAGTAATTATGGTTTTTTGTTTTGTTTTGGTTTTTCGAGACAGGGTTTATCTCTGTAGCTTTGGAGCCTGCTTTGGAACTCACTCTATAGCCCAGGCTAGCCTCGAACTCACAGAGATCCGCCTGCCTCTGCCTCCCCAGTGCTGGGATTAAAGGCGTGCACCACCACTGCCTGGCATTAATTATGGTTTTATGTTCTTAAAATAGTAGTGAAGGAGCTTGGTTTCTAGTCTTGTTTTTGCCTGGTTGATATTTGTAATTCCTGAGGGTTTTAAAGGTCTCAAGACACTGCCTTACTATAGTCAGAAGAGGTTTGCTTATAAAGGAGACATTAAGTAAGCATTCTTAGATGCTCTGAAATGCAGTGTAGCATAATATGAGAGCAGCTGGGGTCAGGGCTCTTCTTTGGTCTGGTTTGGCTCAGTACATAATAGGTCATTTATGTACTACTGAGCCACAACACAGCCAAACATGGTTATTTCTAACTACCCCACATAGGTGCTAATTTAGTTTATGTGCAGTTGGCTTCATGTGGCTCTCAGCTCATTCATTTTCCTTTCTATTAAACATTCATAGTTTCCTTATTTTTACTAATGGATAATTTTTCTCTCCCAACATGTAATGCATGAGAATAGAGTTAGTAATATGCAGATCTCCAAAAGCTTCCAAATAATTGAGTAAGCCTCTGGAGATTGAACTCAGTGAAAAGGTTAGCATAATGTTCCTTTTCAAGGCTAGTCTTTCTGGGTCTTATCTACTGTCTGTTTTTAGGAGCTCAGTAGTTTGTTCAGTACCACTGCTCCCCCCGGAAATTTAAATAAAAATAGGAATAGGAAATTAAGTCCAAATTGGGGCTTAGGAGATGGCTCAGTTGATAAAGTGCTACTGTGCAAGTGTGAGGACCTGAGTTTGGATCCCCAGCACCTACAGAAAAGCCAGGTTCAGTAGTGTGCATCTGTAGTCTCCCAAACACAAATGGGAAGGTAGATGCCTGGAGCTTGTTGGCTAGCCACTCTATCTGAATTCGTGAGTTCCCGTGCACTGGTGAGATGGCCCGGTAGTGTGTGTGCTTGTGAACAACATGCACACTAAAGATAAGTGTCAAAAATTTAAGGGCTGGGGCCGCTGTGGCACACGCCTTTAATCCCAGCACTCAAGAAGCAGAGCCAGTCGGATCTTTGTGAGTTCGAGGCCAACCTGGTCTACAGAGCAAGATCCAGGACAGGCACCAAAACTACACAGAGAAACCCTGTCTCAAAAAACCAAAAAAAAAAGCCAGGCGGTGGTGGCGCACGCCTTTAATCCCAGCACTCGGGAGGCCGAGGCAGGTGGATCTCTGTGAGTTTGAGGCCAGCCTGGTCTCCAAAGCGAGTTCCAGGAAAGGCGCAAAGCTACACAGAGAAACCCTGTCTTGAAAAAACCAAAAAAATTTTAAAAAATAAAAAAATAAATAAAAAACAAAACAAAAAAAAAAGTGTGTGTGTGGGGGGGGGGATGCTGGAGAGATGGCTCAGCAGTTAAGAGTACTCTTCCAGAGGTTCTAAGTTCAATTCCCAGCAACCACATGGTGGATCACAACCATCTGCAATGAGATCTGGTGCCCTCTACTGGCCTGCAGGGACACATGCAGGCAGAACACTGTATATATAACAAATAAATAAATCTTTAAAAAAAAAAATTAAGGGCTGGGCATGGTGGCACACTCCTTTAATCCCAGCACTATGGAGTCAGATACAGGTGGATCTCTGTGAGTTAGAGGCCAGCCTGGTCTACAGAGCGAGTCTAGGACAGCCAACACTGTTACACAGAGAAGCCTTGTCTCAAAAACAAAACAAAACAAAAAACAACAAAAAAAATTTTTTTAAAGGTGGAGAGCACTTCAGGAAGACACCCAACATAGACCTCTGGCCTTTACATGAATGCACGGACATGTTCATGTACACCTGCATGAACATGCACACACACAATACCACACACAAAAAGGAAGAAAGAAAATTAATCAAAACTATTTATGTTAGCTCCATTTCAAATGTGTGGGCTCACCTCTACAAACCGTCAGTACTAGAATCCTTGGTTTTACCTGACGCAGATGTCCAGTGGTGTTCCACACCGGAAGAGGGTTGAGAGTGTGCCGGTGTGTTTTGTGGCCGTGGTTAGTGACTTTCACTGAGAGCTGTCATTTTTCTAAATTTCTGAAGTAGGTAGCCTAGGCCCTGAGAGCACAGCCTCCATCACGAAGCTGCCGTCTCAAGCCAGGTAGGGTAACCATGCCTCTAATCCTAGCACTTGGGTAGAAGAGTCAAGAAGTTCAGGTCATCCTCAGTTACATACTGAGGCTAACCTTGGCTGCTAGGGCCCGTCTCAAAACTAACGGACAGCACGCCTTTAATCCCAGCACTTGGGAGGCAGAGCCAGGCGGATCTCTGTGAGTTCGAGGCCAGCCTGGGCTACCAAGTGAGTTCCAGGAAAAGGCGCAAAGCTACACAGAGAAACCCTGTCTCGAAAAAAAAAAAAAAAAAAACCAAACCAAAAAAAAAAAAAAAAAAACTAACGGACAGACAGACAAAAAGCAGCATCGTGCTGTTTCAGGAGAAAGAGCACAGTTTTGAAGGGTAACACGTGGTGCTTCAAGGAAGGCACAGTTGACATTGTTACTATCCAGGAATTAAAGACAATGGTGCTGTCAGCAGCTGGATCAGTTAAATTAGGCTTGACCCATGGACAGCACCCAGATAGCTACAGGCCTGATAAGGGCAGGCATGGCGATTTAGACCTGAGGAACAGCATGGGAACAAGTGGGAATGGGGAGTGAAGTGGCTGCAGCGGGTCTGGACCACAGTGAGAGGGGAGATGCACATTTGGAAAAGCCAACAGCACCAGCTCAGCTCGTACCAGCTCCAACTTCCAATTCCTGATTTAAATGTCAAAGAGTCAATCTTCTGTGCAAGAGATGGGAATTAAATATGTAGAAACTGTCCCAGCTTGATTTGAGACTATTATGAACCAAGTATGTGTCTGAGAACTTTTCAAAGGAGTCTTTTTTTTTTTTTTTTCAGTTTTAATGTCTATGTGCATAGTTCCCCTGGAACTAGAGTTACAGACAGTTGTGAACTGCCATGTGGGTGCTGAGAATTGAACCCCGGTCCTTTGGAAGGCAGCCAGTGTTCTTAACCGCTGCACCATCTTTCCAGCCCCTCAAAAGATCTTTGAAGGAAGTTAAAAATCTGCCTCTGGTTTTCAGCATGCCTTCTATATCACATGAACACTGTGAATGCTTACTGTTTTTGTTTTGTGGGGCTGAGGATTGTGCATGCTAGTCAGGCGCCTACCACTAAGTACATCCCCAGCCCCAAATGTTTGGTTTTTTAATACTGTATTGATACTTAGGTGTCAACAGAGTTGTAACACTTGAGCATTCATGAGGTGTCCTCTTGGGCTATCTGCCCTTCACTGGGCTCTTGTTACTCAAAATATACCCACAGGATCCCCCTCTGTGACCCAGGTATTCTGTTTCTTTCCAGGGGAAGAAGGTAGATGGCTCTGTAAATGCCTATGCCATAAACGTGTCTCAGAAGAGGAAATACAGGTATGCATGGCCCCTGTGCTTGACCTCAAATTAGTTTCACATTTGGAAGGGAATTTTGTTACAGGACAATTGTGTATGTTTTGGAAATGTTGAAGTTTTCCATACTGTTTGCACACGTGTGCTAGCTTGCTCACTCTGTGTGTGTGTGTGTGTGTGTGTGTGTGTGTTTTGAGACATATAGCTAAAGATAACTATGATCCAATCCTTGGGCCTCCACCGCCCAAATGTTGGGATTACAAACCTGTGCCACCAAGACTGGTGCCTGTGAACTGTACTGTCTTTGTTGTTTGGATTCTGATGTATTACAATTTCCTTCCGGTATTCATGTGAACAAGTAGCTCTGCCTGTTGCTGCCTTGAGGCGGGGTCTCTGAACCAGAAGCTCATAGCTGGCTGGACTGCTCAGGGAGCTCTCTGCCCTCCCACTGCTGGGGTTATAGGCACACACACAGCCATGCCTAGCTTTTTTCATTTTTCATGCTTGGAAGTCAAACGCTCTTACCTTATACTGTCCCTCAGCCCTGCTTTTGAGAACAGGGTCTCTGTGTATCCCAAGCTGGGCTTGACCTTGCAATCCTTGTATCTCCACCCTTGCAGTAGTGATGATTACAGGCACATACCATCATACCCAGGTGAAGCATTTTGAAAGGTGTTGTTAGTTTGAATTTTGAAGTATGGTTTTATTATATTTTTAAAATAAGAGTCCACATTTTTTAAAAATACTTTTCTCTTTTTATCATAGGCAGTACATGAATCGAAAAGGCGGATTCAACAGACCTCTGGATTTTATTGCATGAGACTTGAGGTGTTGGAGGATTCCCCCTCATCTGGGTCAGAGAGTATTTTATATTTTGTATTTAATCCACCTCCAAACAGGATCTCGGTTCTTCTTTCCTATAAAGTAAGAACATCTTATTTATGACCCCCAGTGTACTTCCTTTCCTCAGGAGGGAGGTGACACTTTTTAAGGTGGTGACCCTGTGGTGGATACAGCTCGTTTGTCTTGTTCCTTTGAACCTGTGTGTGCTTTCTTTTTGGATGCTTGTTAGGAGTTCTTAAAAAACTGAAAGTAACTTAGATATGAGTTTCTCCAATAAAACTGTATTTCTACCCATTTTATATTTATTTGACAAATATCTTTATTATTAAAGAGTCTCCTAGACATTTTCTTTTTCCACACATAGATCTGTTTTGTTTTGAGGTAAGGTCTTGTTCTGTAATCCAGGCTAGCCTTGAAATTGGGACAGTCCTGCCTCCATCCCTTGTGGCTGGGATTATAGATATGTCACCATGCCAGCTTAGACTAAGCCATTTTGATTCTTGGTAGTTTAAAAGCCAGAAGAAGGAAAAAGTATAGCTTTGGATTTTTGTGTATTCTTCATTTCTCTCCAAAATATCATTTACTATGCTCCCTCAGAAACAAAAGTGATACATGTTTGCTTTAAAAACACTTAGGAGAACCAGACAGCAGAAGAAAAGTCAAAATTCCCCGCAGTCTACTCCAGAAACATTCTGTTGTGTGTCTTTTCAGGCTCCTATGGAAGTATATTTCTTATCCCCACCAATAGAATAATATGTAAAAGGTACATACAGCCCTCCTCTAACCCTTGCCTCATTTACTGTCAATATTTGACGCTTGTATTGTTTAGAGACAATGGCATCCTGTGGCTTTTTAGCTGTATCATAATTGACCAGCCTTTTCTGATGCTTTGAGAAGGGTATCTATAGCAGGTTTCATGTCCGTTGGAGACAGCCCACAACTGCATAGACATACTTCTGTATGTGTCTACTTCAGATGGAAGTCGGCTGTGTCTCTGCTCTTAGCAGAGCCTTCATTGGGCAGTGCATGTAAAGCCCCTCTATTTTATTGCAGATGGACTGTGGTTATTTCAGCCCCCTTTGATGTTAGCATTCAGATTATTTCGAATTTTTTGCAATTTTGAACAGTTCTGTAATTACACTGTGTCTCATGATTTTGTATTTCTTTGGCCGTATCTTTAATGTCCTTATTAGTTTTTTGGTTAGCAGATAGAGTAATGAGTCTTGTTGGGCATTTTCATGGTATACATCATTCTGCTTTTTTTATTCACTCTCCTCGTGCCTGCCTCCTTTTGCTGGCTCCTTTCCTCTCTCGACTTTCATGTGATGCATATTCCAGTACCTTCTTTTCTTCCCTCTACCTGCTCAAGAGCTCTTCCTCCCCTTTATGATGGTCCCCTGTATACATTCATGACCCCAGTCACATGTATGTAAACATGTACTTAAATTTAAATCTAGATTTCATGTATGAGAGAAAACAATATTTGTGTTAGTCTAGCTTATTTCACTTAGCATAATGATCTCCATTTCCTTTTGGTTAGATTTTTAAATCTGGGAAGAGATGGGGAGTATGGTTAGGACCTTTTCCTCTAATAGACTGCTGTCATCTAGGGCCACACTTTGTGTAAGATCTTCTGTTTCCAATATCTGTGTCTTGGCATGCCCAGGGCTTTGGCCTTCGACCCTCTCCCTACACTCCATGTGACTTTAACTGTGTGTCGCATAGCCTTGGGTATGTGTGCCAGGCTGGACCTCCACTAAGCTGCAGCCTTGCTTGAGCCTGAAGATCAGGCACCTCAAATGTGAGGCTGAACTGAGCCCTCACTTTCCTGCTGCCCTCTTCCTGAGATGCCCCCATTTTAGCTAATAGCTCTGTACTAAATGGCCTTTCATTTACTCCGTCATTCAGTCAAATTCTGAGCCCATCCTCATGCCCTGGATCTGATTGACTGGAAAATCCCTTCAGAATTTGTTTGGCCACTGCTTACCACCAACACCAGTCCGGGCTCACACCCTTACCTGGACTACTGCAGAAGCTCCACATGGGTCCCCTCTTTCTGCTCTTGCTGCGTCTTTACTCTCCACCCACAGCAAAGACCGCACGCTCCTGGTCTCAGTGATACTGTTAGAAGAAAGTCCGTTTTGCTGCAGTCTCAGGCTCCTGTGTGATCTGTGCTCATGTACTCACACCATAGCTCACTGCACTTGGACACATCTGCTGTGCTAATGTGTTTTGAAGCCAGGTATGTGCCTGCCTAGTCCTCCCACTTTCTTTTTCTTCCTCTGGGATGGTCCCTCTCCTAGTTGTGTTCATGTCCCTTCTCTATTGGGATAAGATTCGTAGACCATAAAACATACTCCGTTAAAGTTGACAGTAGTTTTAGTGTATTCATTTAGGCAGACATCCATCTTCACATCTAGTCTTTCATCATCCCTCGAAGAAACCTTGAACTCGGACAACTCTGCCTACCTGTCAGTTGACACTTATGTAGTGACAGGCTGTGGGTTTGGGGTTGTAGGGAAGTACTGAAAGCTGGAGTGCCCATTGTTTTCCACTTACTGCTTCACTGCCAGTAGATGGCACCAGAGACTCTTCTTCCTGATGTCAAGTCCTAGTTGGTGTCACTAATCCATTTCTTCCATCACCAGGAAAGGAAATTGCTGTATTCCTTAGTCTTGGTCTCCGATGTTTATGTAATTGGGTTGGGGTTTTTTGTTTGTTTGTTTGTTTTTGGAGTTGAATTTAAACTTGTTGGTGCTTAAATTACTTGCTTTATTTGCTCTATCTTGGGTTTCAAACTCTGACCACCCTTTTAAAAAGAAATGTGTGACTTTTTAGTTGGAGCAATTATGGGAGAAGAATTATTATCCTGAAATAGGACTAGGTTGAAATAAATTGTTGAGAGCAAAAGAGAAAGACTGAGCTGGGCGGTGGTGGCGCACGCCTTTATTCCCAGCACTTAGGAGGCAGAGGCAGGTGGATCTCTGCGAGTTCGAGGCCAGCCTGGTCCATAGAACTAGTTCTAGGACAGCCAGGGATGTTACACAGAGAAATCCTCTCTCGAAGGAAAAAGAGAAAGACTGAAAAAGGTGAAACTTGGGAGGAAATATAAAAGTACAAAACCCAAGATGTTAAAATGGCCAAAAGAGGGTATTTTTAGGAATATTAAATTGGTTACTTTAATAGTTGCTCACATTACTTTAATTTTTAAATTTTAACAAACAGCATACAATTTAAAAATGTTCCAAATTGTTCCTTTCCCCATTCTTACTTACAAGTTCTGTGCCTTTGTGAAAAACTGCTTTCAGTGTGTGTGTCAGCATAGAGCCCTGGATTGGATCCTTGCACATACCAGGCAACATTGCCACTGAGCTGCACCCCAGTCCATTGTGTGTTACCCACAGTTTGAATTGTGTTCTGTGACTGTCTGCAATTCTGTGTACCTGCCATGGGTTTTTTGGTTTGTTTTTGTTTTGTTTTTTTGTACAACTGCAAATCAGAATTGCCAGGCCAGTTGTGGGTGAGACAGCAAGGGTTCAGGTCTTTCCCCAAGCTAAGGAAGAATAGGAAAATTACTTGTCTCTGAGCCTCTTTCTTCATGTGCAAAATGTAGGTAAGGATGACAACCCCTTGGGGTTGTCCTGAGGGATGGAAACAGTGTAGGTGGATCACCTGACATGTGTGTACAAAGAAAGCTAACACTGCATACTGACATCACTAAGAAGTTTCATTTAAAAATCCTCTGCTCGTTTCAATTTTCAGAGTTCTTAACCTATAGCTTTATTCCTGCCTTTTAAATTGGAGATACAGACATTGCACTTTGGGTCTCGAATGATCTATCATTTCAAAAACAGTGATTGCTCAAGGACCTATATTTACAGAGTGAGCTTTCCAGTGGGTGCCGGTGGAGCACACACCATTTGTGGGCTGATGAGAGGCCTGTTCAGGAGTGTTTTCCTCTGGGATGGAAGGTTCAGCCTTACTCTGTAGGCACCGGGCCATTCGGTGTGAGTGTGGTCTAAGGGAGCCGGCCGTTCTCCCCCCACCCCTCCCTCCCGGCGTGGGAGCTACGTGCCACCACCGTCTGTCCGAGGTACCCAGCTAGGCCTGAAGTTCTCCCCGGAGACAGTGGGCAACAGGTCTGCGGCCAGTGGGCGTGGCTCCGCCCGTGCCCTCCTGCCTCGTAGCCAATCGGCTGCCTGAAAGTGGGCCGCCGCTTAGGCGGAGCGGTGACGTCATCGTAGCCGGGAGGTTTCCGAGGGCTCGGCCAATGAGGCGCGGGTGCAGCGGCATTCCCTGTACTGTGCTTGCCCAATGCCCGCAGAGCCCAAGGGGGCCTGGCTGTCGGCATGCAGCCAATGGGAGGCAGCAGGAGCACGAGGCGGAGTTGCGAGTCCTATGGCCAATGGGGTGTCGGGGGCGGAGTCCGGGCCTTGTCAAGCCCGGCCAACCAGCGGGAGGAGCGGGCTTCTGGGGCGGGGCCGCGGACACTTACCCAATTGCGGCGGTCTGGAGGCGGGCTGTGCTGCGGACGACCCAATGAGGGGCACCGCCGCCGCGGGCCTGTCAAGGGACGGGACCGGGGGCGGGCGGCGGCGAGTCGGGATAAACACTCAGCGGCCGCTGCTGGGATCCGGGCTCCGTGCCGTCCCAGCGCTGCCCCTCCTGGCTGGCCAGCGCGGCGGCTTTTCGGCGTTCCCGGCCAGCGGCCCGCGGGCACGGAGAGGCGGCCCGCCGGGTGCAGGATGGCGACAGCCGTCGGGATGAACATCCAGCTGCTGCTGGAGGCGGCCGACTACCTGGAGCGGAGGGAGAGAGGTGCACGGCGGGCTGCGGGCCGGGCGGGCGGCCGCTGGGGTGGTTGGGGCGCGGGCTGGCCGCGAGCGCCAACCCCCGGGCCCGCGCCCCAAAAGCCGAGCGCGGGGGGCGGCGAGCAGCTGGAACCTTCCACACCTGCTCCGAACCGAGGGCGTCCACGCCAGGAAAGAGCAGGCATTGTTCTCAGAATTCCGCCTGCCTGCGCCCGCCCGGTGCCCGGACTCCGACAGACAAACGGACGCGGGGACAGGGTGTCAGATGCTCTGGGCCCATTCATTAACGGGACCCCTCGGTTTTCTAGAAGCTGAACATGGGTATGCCTCCATGTTGCCGTACAGTAGCAAGGACAGAGATGCCTTCAAACGGAGGAACAAGACCAAGAAGAACAGCACCAGTAGCAGGTAACTGTTCAGTGCTCCCCTTCTCTGTAGCTAACACAACGACTGATTGTTAGTTGACTGCTGGGATTCTAGCCCTACAGATACACTGAGGGTCTGGTTATGCACACATGGTGCTAAACAGCCCTTCTTCTTAAGTTGAAGAAACTGAGGAGAAAGTAAGATTGTCTTACATTTCATTATGACCTTTTTTTAAAAAAAAAATAATAATTCTAATCTTCACCCTCTGAACAAAGCAAAACTCCATGGGGCTAGCAGCTGGGTCACTACTTTTGCCTTCTTTACACGCAACAGAGTTCCCACGTTTCCTTTCATTCAAACTGCAGCATGTTATCGGTTGACTTTGCTGGTCATAGTGAAGATTTTATAAAGGAGGTATCCGGCCTGACACAGGTGGTAGAAATGTATATTTAACGTGTAAATTAAATGCAGTAGTTTGTCTGATAACCCAGTTGTGGCCTCTGTTTCTGATGCCTGAGCAGAGTGATTGAGGTTAGAGCACACTTCTGGGAGAAGGAAGGTGCGTGCAGCGTTAGGGTGTCAGCCAGTTCCAGCCTTTTCTTGTTAGCCTCCCGACTGCCTCAGTCCTCAGAAGCTGTCGGTTTCACCACAGTGCTTAGTTAATGCCTGGGAGCTCACAGCCCCTGATCCACAACAACATGTCACCTCTGTCACTGTCGCTATGTCCCTCTCCTTGCCCTTAAAATACTGGTTGGAGCTGGGCATGGTGGTGTAAATCTTTGGTCCCAGCACTCAGGAGGCATGTGGATCTCTGTGGAGTTGGAGGCCAGTCTGGTCTACATTGGGAATTGCAGACGAGCTACATATGAGACTACCTGGCTACTTAGTGAGACCCTGTCTCAAAAACAAAAACAAAACCCTAACTAGTTAGTAGGAGTCCATGTTACTAGGGCCATTCAATTTAGGCTATGCCTAAAATCATTGACATTTTCATCAGCAATTTAGAATCCTAATCCCTCCCCCTCATGAATAACTTCCCACGAGCACATAGATCGCCACGTAGGGTAGCCTCTGTGGCTTAATACAGACCACTAATCCAGGAAGTGCCTACTCACACCTACAGTTCACCCACCTTGTCCTTGGTTCACCCGTCCACAGCCCTAGTGTTGGACTCACAGACTGGGCCTCACACTGCACCACGCTCCTGACTGAGGCACAGGAAGGGTGGACCTGACCCGGTAATTACCTGATGGGTTTTTCTCGTCCTCTCATCTAGCATAGGCTGATGGTGATAGTCAGTAGTGCTGCACATGGGCACTACAGCCTTTTAAGGAGGGTGTTCACACTGACGTGAGTCAACAGCGGCATCAGAAAGGGCTCCACTGCCTTTGGTAGTGTGCTGTGCGTTTTGTTTCTGTACTAGTATATTCTTCTGCCGTATTCTTACCACTCCTGAGGTGGGAGGGACCGTCCACCTTACTAGTCTTCACTTTAATGCCTTAACCCTCTTTTTTTCCTGCTTTTTAGAAGGTTGATGGTGGGTTGAGCAGTGGGGACTCGAAAGGCTTTGTGAAGTGACTTGGTCCCAGAAGGATGATTAAAAAGCATAGTGAGAGCTTCCATGCCAAGCTAGAGGGGCTCCAGAAGGACTAGAGTCCTTCTCCTGTCCTTAGCCTGCAGCACTCCTGGACAGTGTACAGCTCCTGAGTTTGGAAAATCGAAAAACCCTTCTGTTAAGAGGCCTGCTTCCTCTTCCTAGAGATCGGGCTGCCGTAGCTGTCTGTGTGCTTCACTAACAGTGAATGGGTGTGATGCGGTCAGTGTGGGAAGGAGCCCTCAGAGTCCAGGACTAAAGTCTAAGCAGGGAGGTTTTTGTAGGCATGGTCTCTTCCGTGGCTGTTGGCATATCCTTCACCTGAGGAGTGAGGTCGCCATCGGAGAGTGGCCGGACACCAGTCAGAGTCAGCCTTCTGCCCAGGGCCATGGGACCATGCATTTGAAATGAAAAGGCCGAGGAGATATGCTAGTTCACAGAACTCTTTGACAATAACATGTTCAGGTTGAAATATTATGTATGCTCTTTGCTTGTGGAGTCTGAGGAAATACTTTGCCTTAGACAATAAAAAATAAGATTCAGCCATTTTTTCAAACTTCTTGGGAACTGAAAATGCAGTTTGTTTTAAAACTGCTTTTGTCAAAAAATTAATAATAATAATAATAATAATAATAATAATAATAATAATAATAATAAAAGTATAGTGAATGTCAGTTGCTTTAGAATCATCCAGAGAACTACTGGATTAGAAAGACAGGCTCTTTCTTTCCTTCTGGTTTTTAAAATCACTTAGTTATTATTTAGAATTGAAATTGAGAACTTTGTTTTTCTTGTTTTTATTTGCTGTTGTTTTTAAAGAAAAACATCTCTTGGCAGAAGATAAGACCTCAGTGGTAGAGTGTTTGTCTAGCATGTATGAGGCCCAGGGTTCAGTCCCCAAAGGTAAAGACAGTCCTGTTGCCCAGGCTAGCCCAAACTCCTGGGTCTGACGTTCTTCCTGCCTCAGCTTCTTAAGTAGCTAGAACTCCGTAACATGCCTCTGCCTGTAATAGTTTTTAGAAGTATTTCTGTATTTCGTTAACGTGAGTAAAGCAGGCTCTGCCACTGATGTGAAAGAGGAAGTCCGGGACTTGGTCACTGAACTATTTTATAAGGAGTGGCTGTGAAGGCGACCTAATATGAGGCAGCTTTCTGACGTACTGCATTAGGCTGTGTTATCTTTTTATTAGGGTATGCTGTTATAGGTTAGGATTGACCTTATGGCCATTCCAGAGTCCTCGGTGACTGCACGAAAATGGTTTGACATAGAAAGTATCTATGCATTCTCCCATGCCTTAATTAGAATCTTGGTGCTCACCCTTCAATGGGCTGGCTGCTTCTTATTAATGACTAACTCAGTCAGCAAGCCAAGCACACTTCAGTTACACCTTAGATGGCCGCCCCCTTTAAAAGGCACCATGTGTTCAACACTCTTAAGTAATCAAGTAAAACCTGTCATTTCTAAAACTTGAGTCAAAAATTACAAAGAGTTACGCTTCCTGCAGGATTTGTAGATAAAGTTTGTCCTGGGGATCCAGGTTTTTTTTTTTTATGTAAATAGAAATTGTCAGTCTGTCTGTCTGTAGTTCTTTAAAGAATCCAGAAGAGTACCCCAGATGCTCTTTTTCCTCCCAGTCTTCAGGGACAAGGTGGGGGCGCTACTTCTCTGTAGTTAAACAGGGAAGTCTTAACCAACTCTATTTAAAAAAAAAAAAAAACCTATCAGACTTTGAACTTAGAATTCCCAGTTAAAGGTAAAGCGCCACGTGTTTGAAGCCACGTGTTTGCAGTTCGGTCCAGATTCTTGTTAACGGAGGGTCCCTGCCAGTCCCTGACAGACTTAAACTAAACTGATGGAGAACCCAGGGAACCAACTGAAAACTGGTTTGGAGGTCCTAGAAAGAAAACTTTAAATGCATCCTTATTTTCTCATTTGTTTCCCCTCGTGAATAAAAGCTAATCTTCTGGGGCTTATAGCAGAGAAGTTTGGGTTTTGTTTTGTTTTGTTTTGAGAAGTTTGTTTTTATCACATCTGTATTTATTTGTGTGTATGTGTGTAGGTGCACATGCACCACAGTCGGCCTGTGGAGACCAGAGGACAACTTTCAGAAGTTGGTTCTCTCCCTCCACCAAGTGGGTCCTGGGTATCAAACTTGGGTCGTCAGGTGTTGAGGCAAGCACCTTTATCTGCTGAGCCTTCTCACCAGTCTCTAGAAGAGAAAATTTAGTTCTGGGCTAGAAATCTCCTGTTTGAAGACAACCTTCTACACCCATACAGACACACACACTATCCCTGATCTGTGAGTGAACCTGCCAATGATACCATACATGGCTGAGCATTCGCCATGGCCGCCATGAGACTTTACCTCCTGGGCTTACAGAATTCACAACCAAAGCAAGTTAGATTCCACAGAATTCCACATGATAAGTCCATATTCGGGCTTTTCCAAAGATGGGCTTCTTCACATTTATGCCTGGTCATAGAGAAGCTGCATGCAGATGTGGAAGGAATCTTGTTGACTCTGATGACTGTGGAGCCCTGTCCATGGAGTCCAAGGCAAATCATGGGCTTCTCACCCAGCCTGCCTTTCATCCCAGCCTTGCCAGTCCCTTTTATGGTTGCTTCCTCATGGATCCGCGCTCGTTTAGTAGATTATTGGCAATTTTGTATTCCCATTTAACAGAGGGGTTAACCAAGGACTTGATAGTAAAATTATTTCATCTTCATACCATGGAGGGCAAAGGTTACCTTTTTTCTAAAGATTTATTTATTTATTTATTATGTATACAGAAGAGGGTGCCAGATCTCATTACAGATGGTTGTGAGCCACCATGTGGGTGCTGGGAATTGAACTCAGGACCTCTGGAAGAGCAGTCGATGCTCTTAACCTCTGAGCCATCTCTCCAGCCCAGGTTGCTTTTTTTCATTCCAACTCCTGCTTTACCAGACATGTCTTCTTCATGTTGAATTTGCAAACTGCTGCTTTACCTCACTGCTGTGGGGCAGCAGCGGCTTTCCTAAGGTTGTGCATGAGGCATTTAATTCAGGGAGCTGAATTGAGGAGGAGTTATTTTACCAGTTGAAATTGGATTTTGTACCCAAACAGCATCACGTTTTAGTATATGCTGCCCTTAGGAGGTAGGGCCGGGGTATGACACCACCCCCATGACTTTACAGATAACATAAAGAAGGCTTTGTAGTGTTATGCAGCTCCAGGGCACAGCACACTGTACAACTGTGTTTTGTAAGTGACCCTCTTCCTCCTTATAAAAGACTGCGTGCCTCTTAAGTCATTGGAGTTCCTTGAGCTGTATTTATTTAGAGTGTTTTGTTTGCATGTATGTCACATACATCATATATGTAGCTGGTGCCCACAGAGATCAGAAGAGGGGATCAGATTCCCTGGAGAACTGGAGTTACAGACAGTTGTAAGCTGCCATGTAGGTGGTAGGAATTGAACCTGGGTCCTCTGCAAGAACACCAAGTGCTCTTAGTCACTGAGCCACCTCTCCAGCCCCTTGAACTGTATTTTAGAGACTTTTAATTATCCGACCCCCCAGGTAGACTCCCTTAGAAGATCCCAAGGAGTCACCCCATCTACCTCCTCTCTACCAGCTTTGTAGAAGAGTTACAATGGGGTTAGGGAGATGACTGTATAGGTGATGTGCTGCTGTACAATCATGAGGTGCCTGACATCCGTGTAGAACTCGGACTTGGGAGCAGACATCTCTGCCCCCAGCACAGTGTGTATAGAAACAGCCCTCAGGCTCTCCGACCATCAGTCTACCTAAGCAGAGCTCCAGGTTCACTGAGAGGCCTTGTCTCAGTATGTAAGATGGAGAACAGTACTAAAAAGATGCTAACATTACCCTGTGGCTTACACACACATACACACACACACACACACACACACACACACACACACACACACACATTAAGTTACATTGGTGTTGAAGGCACTTTTTTTTTTTTTTTTTTTTTGAGACAGGGTCTCATCATGTAAGTCTGGCTGTCCTGGAACTCACTATGCAGACCAGTCTAGCCTTGAACTCACAGAAATCCACCTGCCTCTGCCTCTTGAGTGCTGGGATTAAAGGCATAGGCCACCATGCCCAGCTTGAAGTCATTCTTTAACACAAGAATAATTGAAGAGGGGGAAAAAGCCAAGAATAATTGATTTCTTTCGAAAGACAAAAATAATCTTATTTTTTTGCTCCTCTTTCAGATCAACCCACAATGAGATGGAGAAGAACAGGTGAGTGGGGATCTTGAGTTTGACACATTTATTAGTCATCACGTTTTTTAACCCTCCCACCCCGTTCCCAGTGGTGACCCCTGAGTTAAGAGTTCACTCGGGCCCTCTAACCAGTGGTATGTATGCATCACCTGGTGGATGAAGAGCTGGCTGCCCTCCCCTCTCCCCACCCACTCTCAGGGAATGCCGTCAGATGACTCCCACAGATAGGGAGGTGTTCACGAGCTTGGGCATGCTCTTAATCACATGTACGTGGACATGTGCAGTGTGTGTGCACATGCACACATGGCTGCAGTTAACTTGTGAACGAAGAGTCTCCACTCAGGCAGGTGTGCATGTGGAAATAGGAGGAGGAGGGTGACGACCGACCGGAGGGCTGGGCTGTTGGTTGCCGGCGGCGGGCCGCCACCCTGTGCGCCTCACCTCGCCCCAACCCAGCCTGACTCCTGGATTGCTGCTTGCTCCTAATGTAAACCTTTTGTTTCCAGTCAAGTTACCCTTCCTTCAGCCATGCTGCCTAGTAGTTCTCAGCACTTAAACTCACTGGCAAAACGTTTAACTAATTTTTTAAAAACATACATACATTAGTTTTCTGGGGCAGAGAGCAACTGTTTATTTCTACTGATTCTGTGAAATAAAATCCTAACGGGGAAATTTTAACATACAAAGGTAAAATGAATGCAGTGTTACGTGTGTCCACCCAGCCAGGTTCCTACACTCGCAACTACCCTTCTCCATGAAGTAGTTAAAGCAAATTTCCCATTCCAGTAAAAACTTCTTTTTGTTTGTTTGTTTTTTGAGACAGGGTTTCTCTGTGTAGCCCTGGCTGTCCTGGAACTTACTCTGTAGACCAGGCTGGCCTCGAACTCACAGAGATCCACCTGCCTTTGCCTCCCAAGTGCTGGGATTAAAGGTGTGCGCTGTCATGTCCAGCAGTAGAGATTTATTTAAAAAAAAAAAAAAAAAAGTAAACATAACCACAGGCCTCTACTGTCCTGAGAAACAATTAATAATAGTTCTCTGAGGAACTTGAAAAACAAACCAATAGTGCCAGCCCTTGTGTAATGATCCAAGTTCATTGCTTTGGGCTGGGGCTCTGCACTAGAATTCTTCAAAAGCTCCCCAGGTGACTCTCACTGGAGCTGGGTTGAGACCATGGAACAGCCTCGTTCTGTGTCCCGAGCATCCGTCCACTTGAAATGCAGGCTGCCCACCCAGGTGGAAAGGCGTTTGCGTGCCTGTGTGAACAGGAAGATCTGCTCTGATGAAGGCCCTGTGTCCAGCAAACCTCTTAAGGGACCCAGACTCTGAAAGTCAGGTCAGAATCGGGTATAACTCTGGAAAAGACAGACTAGGCCCTCACCAGGCAGCAGGAGCTGGGAAGAAAACCAAACTGTCAGTTCTGTTCCCCTGCAGGATTCCAAGTGAGTGTGACACGTGGGCCTCCCCACTGCTCTGCTCCGTGACTCTGCTCTAAGGCTGAGCTGCACACGTCAGGGCTAGAAACTCAGATTTTCTTCAGGTGGAAGATGGTCGCTGTGACCTTCCTTCCTCACCCTTAGTGTCTCTCTTTTGTCTGCCTCTGCAGAAGTCTAGGTAAAGCGGGCGTCTCTGCCTCAAGTTATCCTTCTTTCAGACCTTTTGTGTGGCCATTTGTTTGTATTCTCCAGTTTCAGCCCTCGGGGCCAGGGCTCCTGGTGGAGTGCATGCCTGGCATGCACAGCTTTGGGTCCCATCCCAGCACTGCAAAGGAAAAACAGATTGCCTCCCAGGCCTCCCGGGACTTTATGCCTTTTTCTTCTGTGAGAGCATTACACAGTGTCTGTGTGTGTGTGTGTGCGTCTGTCTGTCTGTCTGTCTGAGTGTCTGTGTCTTTCTGTGTGTGTGTGTCTGTCTGAGTGTGTGTGTCTGAGTGTCTATGTCTCTGTGTGTGTGAGTGTCTGTGTGTGTGTGTCTGTCTGTCTGTCTGTCTGAGTGTCTGTGTCTTTCTGTGTGTGTGTGTCTGTCTGAGTGTGTGTGTCTGAGTGTCTGTGTGTGTGTGTCTGAGTGTCTGAGTGTCTATGTCTCTGTGTGTCTGAGTGTCTGTGTGTGTGTGTGTGTCTGTCTGTCTGAGTGTCTGTGTCTTTCTGTGTGTGTGTGTCTGTCTGAGTGTGTGTGTCTGAGTGTCTGTGTGTGTGTGTCTGAGTGTCTGAGTGTCTATGTCTCTGTGTGTGTATGTCTGTGTGTGTGTGTGTGTGTGTCTGAGTGTCTGTGTGTGTGTGTGTGTGTGTGTGTGTGTGTGTGTGTGTGTGTGTGTGTGTGTCTGTGTCTGTGATTTGAAATCAGCACTGCTGCGTAGACCTCCGATTGCTTCTCTATGCCCTTCAACTGGGGCTTGTCAGGAGTCCTTTCCACTCTCCTACTTCCTGTTCTTTTTAGGATTTGGCCCTACACTGTCCTAACAAGTTCTTTGCCTGTTTACAATATGTGGTCTGAAAGGGAAGGAAGGAAGGCCTCCATCGCTTAATTTAGACAAACCTTGGTTACTGCAACCCAGGGGAAGAGGTTCCAGTGTTCTAACCCTTCTCCCTCTCCCTTGTCGGCGTGCACTGCCACACCCAGTCTGGGCTGGGCTGGGCTCAAACCCAGCAATCACCTACTAACTGAGTTACACCCCCTGATCTACGTAGTCGAGAGTGTGTGTGTGTGTGTGTGTGTGTGTGTGTGTGTTCGTGTTCGTGCGTGCACTCAGTGGTTAAGAGCACTGGCTGCTCTTGCAGAGTACTAGGATTCCACTCGTAGCACATACTGGCTGCTCACAACTGTCTGTAACTCCAGTTCCAGGGGATCTGACATCCATGGGTACCAAGCACATATGTAGTACATGTACATACACATGTACACATTATTTTTTAATCTTAAAAATATAGAGCACATAAAAATAGTGAGGGCTCTCAAAATAAAAACAACCCAGAGAAAAATTCTAAGATGGGATTTCCCCCCGCTTTGGTATTGTAGAGTTGGATGCACTTGGGTTTCTGTGGCACCTTAGACATTAGGAACAAGCCTCACCCCAGGTTGGGGCTCAGCAGTTAAATACCTGGCATCCATAAGAAAGGTGTAGAATGGTGCCCGGCTTTGTTGAGCACCTGCAGTTCACAGGATAAGGACGTGCACGGAAGGCACATCTGTCGTGTAGCTGTCTACTTCATCATTTCCTTCAGGAAACCAGTTTTCACTGATGGCCCTTGCCCTGTGTGTACTTAATTCTTGCTTCCATCCAAGGTTTTGTTGTTGTTTTGTTTTATAGACTTACTTATTCTAATTTATGTGTATAGGTATTTTACCTGCATGTATGTATGTGCACCACATGTGTGCCTGTTGCCTGCAGAGTTCAAAAAGGTGTTATATTCCCCTGGAACTGGAGTTATGGACGGTTAAGCTGAGCTACTGTGTGGGTGCTGGAACTGAACTGGGGTCCTCTTCAAGAAGAGCAGCCAGTGCTCTTAACCACCGACTCTTCTTTCCAGCCTCCATGGCCATGCTTTCTTATGACAAATTTACTTTGCTTTTTTGAAACAGAACTTCACTACTGTAGCACAAGCAGGACTCAGATTTGCTATGTAACCCAGAATGACCTTGAAGTTGGGGGCTCTCCCTACCTCAGCCACCATGTATTGGGGTTGTGGTAACCTGTCACATAGCCCAGTTCCAAAAAATTTTTAATGAGTCCTCCAATTCCCCATCTCCCATATTCTTAGGATATCAAAAGTTGAAACTACATAATTCCAATAAAATTAGCCTTTAAGAGTATATGCTAAGCCAGGTGGTGGTAGCACAGGCCTTTAATCCCCCACTCAGGAGGCAGAGGCAGGTGGATCTCTGAGTTGGAGGCCAGTTCTAGGATAGCCAGAGCTACACAGAGAAACTGTCTCAAGAGAACAAAACAAAGCAAAAAAAGAGTATATACTAAGCTACTAGATCTTTCCATCCAGGACTCGGTGTGTTTCTTAATTTACCCAGACCTCTTTTCTGTCTCTAAGCAAAGCATTTCCCCATAAATCTTACACATCTCTTGCAAAAAGTGTGCAGGGTTTGTGTAGTTTTGGGGTACTGTAGGTTCCTGTGGTTAACAGGTGGTGAGCTTCAGAACACAGGAATCCTTTCCGCCTCATTGCATGCTGTGTATGGGTTCTGCTCTGTCCCTTGTCTGGGACTGCTCTGATGTAAGTGTCTTTAAGAAGGCCTGTGGTGATGGGACTACTAACACACCAGTCATGGTGATGGATCTGGAGTCAGTGCCACAGCAGGGGCCTGCCCAGAAGGCTCTGGCTTCTCCTTCAATAGCAGGCCCCCGTGTTTTCTGGGGTGATACAGGTGTGGCTTTGCCAGGGTTGGGGTCTTGTGACCCTATGACTAAAGATTGGTGTGTGCTCTGTGGAGATTCACAGCCTTGGTCTGTCCTATGATTTTCATTTGTCCAATAGGATTTTAGTGATGCCTAGCCTGCCATGAGAGACCATTCCAGTAGTTTTTCTGGAGAATGTTCTGATAATCGTAGGTCCCTAGAACTGTTTCCCTGGGTTTCTGACTTTTCAAATGGCCATATTCTTTATATCAAAAGGGTCATGCGTGGTATATGCAGGACCTGGGCATGGTGCGTACTGGGCCTGGGTGTGGTGTGCACTGGGCCAGAGTGTGCTGTACACACCTTCTCCGCTTCTACACACCCTTGACCACACTCAGATTTCATTCTAAGATATCGTAATCAATTCTTGACTGCTGGCACCTTAGTGAAGGCAGACAGGGATCGGTGTACAGATGCAGGCTGTGCTGATGGTGTTCCTCTAGAACCTTCTTTCCGTGCTTACCTCCAGTACCATCTGCCTTTGGAGGTTGGGAGAAGAGGCCTGTGTTGTCTGCTTCTCCAACTTCCAGCCCCCTGCCTGGGGCTCTGAGGGCACTCTCTGACTTCATTGCCAGAATTAACAGTCACCGGGGGAGACAGAGCTAGCAGGTAC